ATTCAATATTTATATTATAGAAATATAGTAGTGGTCATCTAAATAGTTTATCCTACTTTAAAGAAATTTTTATATTGACTATAGTCTAGACTAGACTAAAGACAAGACTATAGTCTAGTCTATAGTCTAGTCTATAGTCTAGTCTATAGTCTAGTCTATAGTCTAGTCTATAGTCTAGTCTATAGTCTAGTCTATAGTCTAGTCTATAGTCTAGTCTATAGTCTAGTCTATAGTCTAGTCTATAGTCTAGTCTATAGTCTAGTCTAGTCTATAGTCTAGTCTATAGTCTAGTCTATAGTCTAGTCTATAGTCTAGTCTATAGTCTAGTCTATAGCCTAGTCTATAGTCTAGTCTATAGTCTAGTCTATAGTCTAGTCTGTAGTGTTGTCTATAGTCTAGTCTATAGTCTTGTCTCTAGTCTAGTCTATAGTCTATTCTATAGTCTAGTATATAGTCTAATCTATAGTCTAGTCTATAGTCTAGTCTATAGTCTAGTCTATAGTCTAGTCTATACTCTAGTCTATACTCTAGTCTATACTCTAGTCTATACTCTAGTCTATAGTCTAGTCTAGTCTAGTCTATAGTCTAGTCTATAGTCTAGTCTATAGTCTAGTCTATAGTCTAGTCTATAGTCTAGTCTATAGTCTAGTCTATAGTCTAGTCTATAGTCTAGTCTATAGTCTAGTCTATAGTCTAGTCTATAGTCTATTCTATAGTCTAGTCTATAGTCTAGTCTATAGTCTAGTCTATAGTCTAGTCTATAGTCTAGTCTATAGTCTAGTCTATAGTCTAGTCTATAGTCTAGTCTATAGTCTAGTCTATAGTCTAGTCTATAGTCTAGTCTATAGTCTAGTCTATAGTCTAGTCTATAGTCTAGTCTATAGTCTAGTCTATAGTCTAGTCTATAGTCTAGTCTATAGTCTAGTCTATAGTCTAGTCTATAGTCTAGTCTATAGTCTAGTCTATAGTCTAGTCTATAGTCTAGTCTATAGTCTAGTCTATAGTCTAGTCTATAGTCTAGTCTATGGTCTAGTCTATAGTCTAGTATATAGTCTAGTCTATAGTCTAGTCTATGGTCTAGTCTATAGTCTAGTATAGTCTAGTCTATAGTCTAGTCTATAGTCTAGTCTATAGTCTAGTCTATAGTCTAGTCTATAGTCTAGTCTATAGTCTAGTCTATAGTCTAGTCTATAGTCTAGTCTATAGTCTAGTCTATAGTCTAGTCTATAGTCTAGTCTATAGTCTAGTCTATAGTCTAGTCTATAGTCTAGTCTATAGTCTAGTCTATAGTCTAGTCTATAGTCTAGTCTATAGTCTAGTCTATAGTCTAGTCTATAGTCTAGTCTATAGTCTAGTCTATAGTCTAGTCTATAGTCTAGTCTATAGTCTAGTCTATAGTCTAGTCTATAGTCTAGTCTATAGTCTAGTCTAGTCTATAGTCTAGTCTATAGTCTAGTCTATAGTCTAGTCTATAGTCTAGTCTATAGTCTAGTCTATAGTCTAGTCTATAGTCTAGTCTGTAGTCTAGTCTATAGTCTAGTCTGTAGTCTAGTCTATAGTCTAGTCTGTAGTCTAGTCTATAGTCTAGTCTGTAGTCTAGTCTATAGTCTAGTCTGTAGTCTAGTCTATAGTCTGGTCTGTAGTCTAGTCTATAGTCTAGCCTATAGGCTAGTCTATAGTCTAGCCTATAGGCTAGTCTATAGTCTAGTCTATAGTCTAGTCCATAGTATAGTCTGTAGTCTAATCTATAGTCTAGACTATAGTCTAGTTTATAATCTAGTCTATAGTCTAGGCCATAGTCTAGACCGAACTGTAATTTAGTATATTGTCTGTAATATAACCTGGACTATACCCTACTGCTTGAATATAATTTCTAACGCCTTTTTTAGATTTTATGCTAATTAGCCGATCATTACTGTTTTCTTTATAAATATTTAAAAAAAATTTATTTGTAAACAAAATTTTATAAACATTCAGTTGTTCTAATCCATTTTTATAAATGTGACTCGAGAACCACACCAAAATACAATTAAAATTAAAAGTCATCTGTCTAATAAATAACATTTTAAAAATATACTAGTTAGGAATATTTATATTTTTTGTTAATAATTAAAAAATATTACCACACAGTCTAAGGAATTAAAAGTATAAACATTAATCATAATTTCGTGTAGTATAGATATTTAGTTGTTTCATTTTGCTGGCTTTTTTTATATACATATAACAAAGATTTATTAAATATATAGATAAATAATGTACATTTATTTTTATTTATTTATTTATTTATTTAATAAATTGTGCCCTAAAGGTTTTCTTTAAAATCCCTTTAATATTTTTGACATTAGCAAAAAATCGCACCAATATATAACAATACAAATATCCCTTTAAGTGGCAACACAAAACTGTAAAAATAAAAACAAACAACAGTCAGAGGAGACAAACATCCAAATACACATACATAAGTACTACGTGCCTACATACATATACGACATCACCCACCAGCCCCTTATACCAGACTCCTCTCACCATTTATTCCCTAAAAAACATATGGAAGTGTTAAATTAAATACAAAAAGAAAAAAAAAACGTGTTTATATGAATTGCCCATTTTTTATTGTTGTGCTTTATTATTTAGCCTACTAAAGAGCTGGGCAAATAATAATCATATACAAACTAACTTACATACATATGTACATCGAATAAAATGTATGAATGTATGAACATTTAATGACATACAAACCATATATATGTATATTTGTACGTCTATCTGTCTGTCTGTCTATCTATTTATCTCTGTTTATATTTTAACAGACACATCTACAAATTTGTTTACGTTTTTATTTTGGTTTTTGGTTAAAAATTCACATTGGAAATTTTTATTGTTGAGTTGTTTTTTTTTTTTTTTTTTTTTATTAAAAAAAAAAAATATTTTTTAACTATTGTTGTTTTTATTTTCGCTTTTTTCTTATTTTATTATGGTATAATTTAGTTATTATATATTTGTGTATGTTTGTGTATTAGGATTTCATTAGATGTTTGTTGCTTTTTATCGTCGTTTATATTTTGTGCTTTAATTTGTTTACAATTTAAAGAATTAAGCAAACTAGTAAAAAAAAAAAAATAGTCTATTTAGTTGTTTTTGTATTTTTAGATATTTTTCTTGCGAAAATAGAAATATTTATTATTGTTTTTAATTTAGTTCATCGTTTAGCTTTTTTTCTGCTTTGTTAAATTGAGTATTTCTTAAAAGTTTAATAGAAATTACTATTAAATTTTTAAATTTAACAGTTTTTTTTAAGCAAAACAACAAAATATACAATTAATTATGCTTTATAAGGTGAATTTTTATAAAATCTGGTTGAAACAATAAATTTCTTTAGAAAACTAAAAATTACTTCTTTAGACAAATTTCTATACAGAATTGTTTTCTTTAAAAAATTATATTAAAAACTGTCTTTTGCGGACAAAATTCTTTAGAAATTTTTTCTATTTAAACAAATATTTTTAGAATAACATCTTCATGAACAATTTACCAAGGAAGGAAACTTTTTTTAAAACAATTCTATAAAAAAGACAAATACAAAGATATATTTATATAAAAAACTGTCTTCAAAAATGAGACATTTCTATAAGAAAGTGCCTCTTAAGTTCTATAATGACTATACAACTTGCTATTTTTATACCTTAAGGTGAGGTTTGATGATAAGAGGTTTAGTTTAGTTTAGTCTTAGCTAAAATATATTGATATTATGAAATTATAAAAAAAGATTGGGCAAAGTGTAATAAACTAATAATAAACAACTTAAATATATACAGTAAGGGTCAGCTAATTAGAAAAAGTAAGTTCCCTTTACAAATTCACCACAAAAATTTGTTATTTTTATACAAATTTCGATAGAATACTGACATTCTTAGAATCATTTGTATAGAAAAGTATCTTTCTTAGGAGCTACCACAGTGTTTCCCCTGTGTGCAAAGAAGATGTTTACTCTAGTCAAGTTTTATATGTAATTTAATCTATAGTCTAGTCTATAGTTTAATATATAGTTTATTATATAGACTAGTCTGCAATCTAGTTTATAGTCAAGCCTACAGTTTAGTGTAGTTTATAGTATAGTCTATTGTTTATTCCATAGTTTAGTCTATAATATAGAGTCTAGTCTAGTAGCACAGTCTATAGTTTATTTTATAGTATTGTTTATAGAATATTCTGTAGACTAGTCTAATCTATAGTCAATAGTTTATTTGATAGTTTAATCTATAGTAGAGTTTAGTCTGTAGTCTAGTCTTTAGTCTTTAATCAAGTCTGTAGTTTAGTCCATATTTTATTCTATATTATAACCTATTCTATAGTAGTCTTTAGTGTAGTCCACAGTTGATTTCATCATTTAAGCTATAATTTATTATATGGTCTTGTATGTAGTACATTTTAGTCTATATTTAAGTCTATAGTCTAATTTATAGTATGTATTTTTAGAAGAAGACACTTTTATATAGAAAAGTATCTTCCTCAGACACATTTCTATAGGAAAGTAGATAGATATAATCCTAAATATTAATAACTATAGTAAAATATATAAACAAACTACTACTAAAATAACCACAAAATAATTAAATCAGATTTAGTTGTGACAATTTACCTGCTTAAAGAAATCCACACACTGTGAATAAAATATAAAATTTCTGGGATACTTTTGTAGAAATGTTTGTCTTAAAACATTCGTTAAAGAAAAAGAAGACTCGTTACTGGGTTTCGCAATAGTATTGTTATTGGAAGACGTTGCTGCTAACAATGTATTGTTGCAATCATTAGATTGCGACGACGACGATGATTGTGATTGTTGCATAGCAACAGCTGCCGCTACGGCTGCATTATTTTCCTTTAAGTCAGCTGTTGCAACAGCTGCTGTTGTTGCAGCCGGCTGGTGGTGGTGTTGCTGCTGCTGCTGCTGTTGTTGATTATTGCTGGTAGCAATAAAATTTAAACATTTGCACGAGATCAACATGATGATGATGGGGTTTGTTTAAATTATATAGAAAGAAAAACACTAACAGACTGAGTAGTACAAACAGTTTTATCTAGTTTTCTAATATTATTCTTTGTTAGGAGTATTAATTATGGCCACTTTTTTGTATTATTTATTTTACAAAGAACACTTTTTCTTTTTTACTTAAATTCTTACACTTGTGCGTTTTACTTTTCTTTGCTTGTTTTTCTCCTTTTTCTTCTTTATTTTTCTTTGCTTTTTCGTCTTTTGGCTCTTTTTTCCGAACGAACACTTTTTTCATAAATTTTCTTTTATTTTTTTTTATGGCTTTTGAAATTACGTTCTATCTTCTTGGTTATAATTCCCTTTTATGCAAATTAATTGATTTTTAATTTAGATTTTATTTTAATTTAAACGAAAGTTTGCTCAACAATTTTTTAATATTGTCTAGAATTCCAGCTTTTTTCTTTTATAAAAAGTAGGAATTTTTATGTAAACGGGAAATATTAATGCACAAATAAAATAGATTTTAATTTTCTATTTTTTCTTCTTTTCGTCTACTACACCACACACATAAAATAATCTTTTTGCCAGAGTTCTACGCTGACTAAAATTTAACAACGGCGTCGGTCGTTACTACAAATTTTGACGGCGAATTAAAATCGTTAGTAATTCACCAGAAGAATCGTATATAAATGCATAGCCCGTGTCTATATGACTGCACTTAACAAAACGTTGGCAGAAAAAAAAATTTTTTTTTATGTTAATGCATAGGGGTAGCTGATTTCATCATGACAACTCACAGATTATTTTACTAAATAATGCTATATTTCATAAATACACTTAAAATTAAATGTTAATTTTGTAAATAAATGCAAATTTCACAAAAACTTATGTTAAAATTCAATTAATTGCACAAAAACAAAATTCTTTGAATTTTTACAATACAATGACGGTTTTTATCATGACAACGTTGTCTAAACAATTGCTTAGACAATATTAATATCATAACGATGCTATTACGCTAATAAATGGCGTCTGTACCTGCTAATTTTTTTATCATGATTATAATTTGACGTTTAGCATAATAAATATTTGTCTATTATAGACACGAAGATACGGGTTAAAAAGATATGTGTATTTTACCACAAAATTTTTATATTTAAGTAAATAAATATTATAAAATATATAAAGCCATTTATTTCAACAATTCTATAAAAATATTCCTTTCTTGTAGGGTAGTTTGTTTGCGATATCCCGGTTTTTGTATGAAAACACGAATCAGCTTATTCTTCACGGAACGTAATGCCTTTAATTTTAATTTTTACAATAATACAATTTTTAATTATTTATTATATTACTATCAAAAAAGAGTAATGAAACCATTTTCTTTAATATGTTAGTATTTTACTAATCATTATTTTTTTAATTAACAATCCAACTTTCTTAAATTATATAGTAATTCCTTCAAAAACAATTTCTTATCTCCTAACACAACATTTTTTCTCTCAGTGTTTGGTTATATGACAATCTATTACAAAATATCAACAACAATTTTCACCATTCTCTTATTGCTGTCAGATTTTATTTTACTTTGTGCCTGAGAACAACGAGAAAAAATATACGTCGGCAGATTATTTGTATTATTTTTTAAACAATTTATAACTATTAAATTGTATTAAAAACCAATAATTGTTAATTTAAAAGGTAGTTTTATAAGTAAATAATAATTATTAATAAAATAGTGTTTAGTAAATAAACAATACAAGCAAAAACAAGCAAGTTAACTAAATAAAACAGAAAAAAACCAATGACGAAAGAGAAACAAGAAAATTGATGACGGGGACATTTTTAATTGGTGCCAGCAATAAACAGATTTTTTTCGTATGATATTTTTAAGAAATAATTTTTGAAATCTTTTTATACTTTAATGAATAATTTATTTAGTTTTCTTTAGTTGTGTGGGAATAGAGATACAAAATGAAAATCAAGGAGTTACAGAAGACAGTAAACATAGCCTGGTCACCGTTGCCGCAACATCCCATTTACTTGGCAGCCGGTACTGCAGCCCAACAATTCGATTCCAATGTTAATTCTAGCTTGGAAATATATTCTACCAATTTTAGCGATCCCAGCTATGATTTGGAGCTTAAAGCCTCAGTGCCCAGTCAGTATAGGTAAGTTTGAAAGAAATATATTTAAAAAGGGTTGTGTTGGTAACTTGATTTTTGTTCTAGATTTCAAAAACTGATCTGGAGTCCCACGGGCTATGGTAGCACTCATGATAATGGTTTAATAGTGGGTGGCTGTGAGGGTGGCCATGTTATGATTTATTCTCCAGCCAAAATGTTGGCTAATGAAGAGGGTCTTATAGCACGCCAGGATAAACATACTGGACCGGTTAGTGGTTTGGACTTTAATCCCTTCCAAACGAATCTCTTGGCTTCTTGTGCTTCCGAATCGGAAATTTTCATTTGGGATCTTAACAACACCACCACCCACATGAATCCCGGCACTAAAACCCAACCCTTTGAAGACGTCAAAAATGTGTCGTGGAATCGTCAGGTGCAACATATTTTGGCTTCTGTATTTAGTTCTCGTTGTGTTATCTGGGATTTGCGTAAAAGTGAACAAATTATCAAATTATCGGATACACAATCCCGTGTACGTTGGCATGCCATACAATGGCATCCGGAAGTGGCTACACAGGTGTGGTTAGCTTCGGAAGATGATCAGGCACCCGTGGTACAACTATGGGATTTACGTTATGCCACTGCTCCCGCTAAAACTATGCAAATACATCAACGCGGCATGTTGGGCATGTCCTGGTGTCCTCGTGATATTGATTTAATGGTTTCTTGCGGTAAAGATAATCGCATATTCTGTTGGAATCCCAATACTCAAGCCTCAGAAGGTGAAATACTATCCGAAGTGGCTACCACAGCTACTTGGTATTCAGATGTACAATGGTGTCCCAGAAATCCAGCGCTTATAGCCAGTTCCAGTTTGGATGGTAATGTTTCCATCTATTCTTTATTCGGTGGTGTTCAACAACAAGTACAAACTGCCAATAAAATCGCCGATTCTTTTCCCGGCATGGATCAATTTGCTCAGGCTCCCATGCCTCAGCAAACTGCGCCAGTGGTTTATCATGATTTGAAGTATGCTCCTAAATGGATTAAGAAACCATGTGGTGTTACATTTGGGGTGAGTTTTTAAATATTTTAAAGTTTTCAATAAAATATCTATTTTTTTTTTTCTTTTTTTAAGTTTGGTGGCAAATTGGTTTCTTTCAACAATAAATCCAAAACTATCAATATTTCTCAAGTTACCACTGAACCCGTATTAGTGGAAAAAGCTAAAGCTTTGGAAAAATCTCTTAGTGAAGCCAATTTTATAGAGTATTGTCGTCAAAAGGCCGATGAAATGACTGATCAAAATGGCCGTTATTTATGGTATTTCATTAAAGCCAATTTTGAACGTAATCCTAAAGAAGAAATTCTTAATTTATTAGGTAATTTTATAAATAAATTTCAATCATAAAGTATTAAAGTAATAGCTTAATATGTTTCATATTTAAAAACAAGGTTTCAACAAAGAAGACATTGATAGCAAATTTTCAAAATATGTACCCGAAGAGGATACCACACAGCAAAACCAAGATTTGGATCAATTAAACAATCGTATGGCTCAGTTAACACATGTAAGTATTTTCTTAAAATAAATAGTTTTTAATTTTTTGTTTAACTGATAACAAACTCCACGTGGCATGTTCAGTTTTACTCGATTTATTATTTATTTACTTTAATGCAATCAAACTCTGCATTAAGGCTTCATTTAGAGTCTACTTTCTTATCACTTACTCTCTCTTCACTTGCTCTCTTAAAGTAAAAGAAATACTAACAACAACTAGCACAGCATCTAATCATTTCCTTTCCCTTCCTATAGACATGATAAAGAATTTTTTTGAAAAAACAATTACATTTTCAATTTTTTTTATCAATTTATTAACATTTTTTAATTAAAACAAAATAACAAAATAAATTTCATATCATTTAACTAAAAAAATAAATAAAACATACATAACTAAAACAAGAGTGATTCAACGGATGTTGAATGTGATCAAAGTACTGATGGCAGCACAAATAGTTATACGGTAAGCTTAAGGCTTAATATTTAACATTTAAATCATCAGCTTACTTTTTATTTTTTGAACTTATGTTTTAGTTTATTTACAAAAAAATAAAGTTTTTCTTAATTAATCGGTAATTTTTAATAATCTTTTTTTTAGCAACAGTTTGATAATAATACTGTATTTGATGGCATAGCTGCTGCCCAAAAGGATTTAAATAATAGTGAAGATGTTCAGAAACCTTTGCCGCAATTTAAAATACCCAACGGGGAACGTAAGTTTAATATTTTTTAAATTAAGGAACAATTTAATTTCCACAATATGCAATAGTCTAGTCTAGTCTATAGTCTAGTCTATAGTCTAGTCTATAGTCTAGTCTATAATCTAGTCTATAGTCTAGTCTATAGTCTAGTCTATAGTCTAGTCTAGTCTATAGTCTAGTCTATAGTCTAGTCTATAGTCTAGTCTATAGTCTAGTCTATAGTCTAGCCTATAGTCTAGTCTATAGTCTAGTCTATAGTCTATCCTATAGTCTAGTCTATAGTCTAGTCTATAGTCTAGTCTATAGTCTAGTCTATAGTCTAGTCTATATTCTAGTCTATAGTCTAGTCTATAGTCTAGTCAATAGTCTAGTCTATAGCCTAGTCTATAGTCTAGTCTATAGTCTAGTCTATAGTCTAGTCTATAGTCTAGTCTATAGTCTAGTCTAAAGTCTAGTCTATAGTCTAGTCTATAGTCTAGTCTATATTCTAGTCTATATTCTGTCTATAGTCTAGTCTATAGTCTAGTCTATAGTCTAGTCTATATTCTAGTCTATATTCTAGTCTATATTCTAGTCTATAGTCTAGTCTATAGTCTAGTCTATAGTCTAGTCTAGTCTAGTCTATAGTCTAGTCTATAGTCTAGTCTATAGTCTAGTCTATAGTCTAGTCTATAGTCTAGTCTATAGTCTAGTCTATAGTCTAGTCTATAGTCTAGTCTATAGTCTAGTCTATAGTCTAGTCTATAGTCTAGTCTATAGTCTAGTCTATAGTCTAGTCTATAGTCTAGTCTATAGTCTAGTCTATAGTCTAGTCTATAGTCTAGTCTATAGTCTAGTCTATAGTCTAGTCTATAGTCTAGTCTATAGTCTAGTCTATAGTCTAGTCTATAGTCTAGTCTATAGTCTAGTCTATAGTCTAGTCTATAGGTCTAGTCTATAGTCTAGTCTATAGTCTAGTCTATAGTCTAGTCTATAGTCTAGTCTATAGTCTAGTCTATAGTCTAGTCTATAGTCTAGTCTATAGTCTAGTCTATAGTCTAGTCTATAGTCTAGTCTATAGTCTAGTTATAGTCTAGTCTATAGTCTAGTCTATAGTCTAGTCTAGTCTAGTCTAAAGTCTAGTCTATAGTCTAGTCTATAGTCTAGTCTATAGTCTAGTCTATAGTCTAGTCTATAGTCTAGTCTATAGTCTAGTCTAGTCTATAGTCTAGTCTATAGTCTAGTCTATAGTCTAGTCTATAGTCTAGTCTATAGTCTAGTCTATAGTCTAGTCTATAGTCTAGTCTATAGTCTAGTCTATAGTCTAGTCTATAGTCTAGTCTATAGTCTAGTCTATAGTCTAGTCTATAGTCTAGTCTATAGTCTAGTCTATAGTCTAGTCTATAGTCTAGTCTATAGTCTAGTCTATAGTCTAGTCTATAGTCTAGTCTATAGTCTAGTCTATAGTCTAGTCTATAGTCTAGTCTATAGTCTAGTCTATAGTCTAGTCTATAGTCTAGTCTATAGTCTAGTCTATAGTCTAGTCTATAGTCTAGTCTATAGTCTAGTCTATAGTCTAGTCTATAGTCTAGTCTATAGTCTAGTCTATAGTCTAGTCTATAGTCTAGTCTATAGTCTAGTCTATAGTCTAGTCTATAGTCTAGTCTATAGTCTAGTCTATAGTCTAGTCTATAAGTCTCGTCTATAGTCTAGTCTATAGTCTAGTATATAGTCTAGTCTATAGTTAGTCTATAGTCTAGTCTATAGTCTAGTCTATAGTCTAGTCTATAGTCTAGTCTATAGTCTAGTCTATAGTCTAGTCTATAGTCTAGTCTATAGTCTAGTCTATAGTCTAGTCTATAGTCTAGTCTAGTCTAGTCTAGAGTCTAGTTATAGTCTAGTATAAGTCTAGTCTATAGCTAGTCTATAGTCTATCTATAGTCTAGTCTATAGTCTAGTCTATAGTCTAGTCTATAGTCTAGGTCTATAGTCTAGTCTATAGTCTAGTCTATAGTTAGTCTATAGTCTAGTCTATAGTCTAGTCTATAGTCTAGTCTATAGTCTAGTCTATAGTCTAGTCTATAGTCTAGTCTATAGTCTAGTCTATAGTCTAGTCTATAGTCTAGTCTATAGTCTAGTCTATAGTCTAGTCTATAGTCTAGTCTATAGTCTAGTCTATAGTCTAGTCTATAGTCTAGTCTATAGTCTAGTCTAGTCTAGTCTAGTCTATAGTCTAGTCTATAGTCTAGTCTATAGTCTAGTCTATAGTCTAGTCTATAGTCTAGTATATAGTCTAGTCTATAGTCTAGTCTATAGTCTAATCTATAGTCTAGTCTATAGTCTAGTCTATAGTCTAGTCTATAGTCTAGTCTGTAGTCTAGTCTATAGTCTAGTCTATAGTCTAGTCTATAGTCTAGTCTATAGTCTAGTCTATAGTCTAGTCTATAGTCTAGTCTATAGTCTAGTCTATAGTCTAGTCTATAGTCTAGTCTATAGTCTAGTCTATAGTCTAGTCTAGTCTAGTCTAGTCTATATTCTAGTATAGTCTGTATTCTAGTCTATAGTCTAGTCTAGTCTATATTCTAGTCTATAGTCTAGTCTATAGTCTAGTCTATAGTCTAGTCTATAGTCTAGTCTATAATGTAGTCTATAGGCTAGCCTATAGTCTAGTCTATAGTCCAGTTTATAGTCCAGTCTATAGTCCAGTCTATAGTCCAGTCTATAGTCCAGTCTATAGTCCAGTCTATAGTTTAGTCTATAGTTTAGTCTATAGTCTAGTCTACAGTCTATTCTATATTGTACTCTATAGTCTAATCTATAGTCAAACATATAACGTGGAGTCTAGTCTATATTCTACACTATAATCTAGTTTATAGTCTAGTTTTTTAGTCATGTCTATAGTCAAGTCTATCGTCTAGTATAAAACAATTTCTTAATATTTTTGTAATTTCTTTTCCTTTTTTTTAGATGCCGACAGCCTTATTACCGAAGCTATACTTACTGGCAATCTCGAGGCTGCTGTACATTTATGTCTTAATTCTCAACGTACCGCTGAAGCCTTTATTATCGCCTCTACAGCTGGCATAGAATTCTTAACGAAAATCCAGAATAACTATTTGCAGGAGCAACAAAGTGAATTATCAAATGTTATTTCCGCTCTAATAACACGCGATTGGATGGACTTTGTTACCCGCTGTACCATCGATTCCTGGAAAGAGGCTTTAGTGGCCGCTCTTAAGCATAGTGAACGTAAAGTGGTGGATATTTGTGAAAAACTAGGTGATCGTCTATTAAATGAGTCTTCCTCGACGGGCAACTTGGAGTATACACGTAATGCTATGTTGTGTTATATATGTGCTGGTAATATCGACAAATTGGTGATGGCCTGGTATCAATTGAAACAATTGGAAAATCAAAATACAAATTATAAATTAAATACCGAAGAATTACAAGAATTGGCGGAGATTGTAATGTTAATGAATAAGTCGTTGGAGGAACAGGGTATAGCTGTTGAATTGAATAGTAAAGTGGCTGATTTTATTAAGGAATATGGTGGTTTACTAGTGGCTCAAGGTGCTTTCACCGCCGCCTTGGCTTATATAATGGAAATTAAAGCATCAGCTACACATCCCGATTTGGATGATTTAAAACAGAGAATTTATAGTATTGTACAACCAGCTACAGCAAAACCAGCTCAGGCTACAATGCCACAACAAAATGTATATCAAAGGCAACAGCAACAGCCTAGAGGTTCATTTTCAGCTATGCCTGGCTATGCAACAGCAGCTCCTTTGCAGCCCACAGTGCCAATGAGCAATCCTTATGCACCACCAGCAGCTGCCAATAATTGGAATGCCAATCCTGTAAATAATCCCATGGCCCCACCATATGCCACACAACCCTTGGCAGCAAATACTGTAGCACCCCCTGCTCCTCCTACTTTATTTAATCCAGCCACAGCTATGCCAGCTGCTGTAAAGCCACCTGTTAATGAAAACTTAGCACAGCCACCACGTCCACTCAGTACTGCCAGTTCACAAGGTGGCACTACTTCGGGAGGCGGTTTAGCTTCTAGATCCAAATATGTATTAGATCCCTCTGTAGCGCCTGCTGGTCCTATGGGTGGTTATGGCAATACTTATAATCCAGCACCTGCACCACAACCTCCTGTACCCAATTCCTTTAATACCACACCATTTAATGCTAATCCCATGGCTGGCTCGAATGCTCCTTCCATAATGCAGCCAACATTTAATCCCACACCCTTCAGTAATAATTCCTACATGCCAGGAGTAGCCCCCATTGAAACAGCTCAAGCTGTAGTACCACCACCACCCATGCAAACTATACAACGTAATCCTACTCCACCACCAGGATGGAATGATCCTCCAGCTTTAAAAACTAGACAGGTAAATGATTTGTTAAATAAATTGTTAAAGGAATTTATAACAAAAATTATTAGAACTTTTTAAACTAAAAAAAATGTCCTTTCAAATCTTACATATACAGACTAGACCTAGTCTATAGTCTAGTCTATAGTCTAGTCTATAGTCTAGTCTATAGTCTAGTCTATAGTCTAGTCTATAGTCTAGTCTATAGTCTAGTCTATAGTCTAGTCTATAGTCTAGTCTATAGTCTAGTCTATAGTCTAGTCTATAGTCTAGTCTATAGTCTAGTCTATAGTCTAGTCTATAGTCTAGTCTAGTCTAGTCTATAGTCTAGTCTATAGTCTAGTCTATAGTCTAGTCTATAGTCTAGTCTATAGTCTAGTCTATAGTCTAGTCTATAGTCTAGTCTATAGTCTAGTCTATAGTCTAGTCTATAGTCTAGTCTATAGTCTAGTCTATAGTCTAGTCTATAGTCTAGTCTATAGTCTAGTCTATAGTCTAGTCTATAGTCTAGTCTATAGTCTAGTCTATAGTCTAGTCTATAGTCTAGTCTATAGTCTAGTCTATAGTCTAGTCTATAGTCTAGTCTATAGTCTAGTCTATAGTCTAGTCTATAGTCTAGTCTATAGTCTAGTCTATAGTCTAGTCTATAGTCTAGTCTATAGTCTAGTCTATAGTCTAGTCTATAGTCTAGTCTATAGTCTAGTCTATAGTCTAGTCTATAGTCTAGTCTATAGTCTAGTCTATAGTCTAGTCTATAGTCTAGTCTATAGTCTAGTCTATAGTCTAGTCTATAGTCTAGTCTATAGTCTAGTCTATAGTCTAGTCTATAGTCTAGTCTATAGTCTAGTCTATAGTCTAGTCTATAGTCTAGTCTATAGTCTAGTCTATAGTCTAGTCTATAGTCTAGTCTATAGTCTAGTCTATAGTCTAGTCTATAGTCTAGTCTATAGTCTAGTCTATAGTCTAGTCTATAGTCTAGTCTATAGTCTAGTCTATAGTCTAGTCTATAGTCTAGTCTATAGTCTAGTCTATAGTCTAGTCTATAGTCTAGTCTATAGTCTAGTCTATAGTCTAGTCTATAGTCTAGTCTATAGTCTAGTCTATAGTCTAGTCTATAGTCTAGTCTATAGTCTAGTCTATAGTCTAGTCTATAGTCTAGTCTATAGTCTAGTCTATAGTCTAGTCTATTGTCTAGTATATAGTCTAGTCTATAGTCTAGTCTATAGTCTAGTTTAGTCTAGTCTATAGTCTAGTCTGTAGTCTAGTCTATAGTCGAGTCTATAATCTAGTCTTAAGTCTAGTCTATAGTCTAGTCTATAGTCTAGTCTATAGTCTATAGTCTAGTCTATAGTCTAGTCTATAGTCTAGTCTATAGTCTAGTCTATAGTCTAGTCTATAGTCTAGTCTATAGTCTAGTCTATAGTCTAGTCTATAGTCTAGTCTATAGTCTAGTCTATAGTCTAGTCTATAGTCTAGTCTATAGTCCTAGTCTATAGTCTAGTCTATAGTCTAGTCTATAGTCTAGTCTATAGTCTAGTCTATAGTCTAGTCTATAGTCTAGTCTAGTAGTCTAGTCTATAGTCTAATCTATAGTTAGTCTATAGTCTAGTCTATATTCTAGACTTTAGTCTAGTCTATAGTCTAGACTTTAGTCTAGTCTAGTCTATAGTCTAGTCTATAGTCTAGTCTATAGTCTAGTCTATAGTCTAGTCTATGGTCTAGTCTAGTAGTCTATAGTCTAGTCTATAGTCTAGTCTATAGCTAGTCTATAGTCTAGTCTATAGTTAGTCTATTGTCTAGTCTAGTCTATAGTCTAGACTTTAGTCTAGTCTAGGTTAGTCTAGTCTATAGTCTAGTCTAATTCCTAGTCTAGTCTAGTCTATAGTCTAGTCTATAGTCTAGTCTATAGTCTAGTCTATAGTCCAGTCTATAGTCTAGTCTATAGTCTAGTCTATAGTCTAGTCTATAGTCTAGTCTAGTCTATAGTCTAGTCTATAGTCTAGTCTATAGTCTAGTCTATAGTCTAATCTATAGTTAGTCTATAGTCTAGTCTAGTCTATAGTCTAGACTTTAGTTTAGTCTATAGTCTAGTCTATAGTCTAGTCTATAGTCTAGTCTATAGTCTAGTCTATGGTCTAGTCTATTGTCTAGTCTAGTCTATAGTCTAGACTTCAGTCTAGTCTATAGTCTAGTCTATAGTCTAGTCTATAGTCTAGTCTATAGTCTAGTCTATGGTCTAGTCTATAGTCTAGTCTATAGTCTAGTCTATTGTCTAGTCTATTGTCTAGACTTTAGTCTAGTCTATAGTCTAGACTTTAGTCTAGTCTATAGTCTAGTCTATAGTCTAGTCTAGTCTAGTCTATAGTCTAGTCTATGGTCTAGTCTATAGTCGAGTCTATAGTCTAGTCTATAGTCTAGTCTATAGTCTAGTCTATAGTCTAGTCTATAGTCTAGTCTATAGTCTAGTCTATAGTCTAATCTATAGTTAGTCTATAGTCTAGTCTATAGTCTAGACTTTAGTCTAGTCTATAGTCTAGTCTATAGTCTAGTCTATAGTCTAGTCTATAGTTAGTCTATAGTCTAGTCTACTCTATAGTCTAGTCTATAGTCTAGTCTATAGTCTAGTCTGTAGTCTAGTCTATAGTCGAGTCTATAGTCTAGTCTATAGTCTAGTCTATAGTCTAGTCTATAGTCTAATCTATAGTTAGTCTATAGTCTAGTCTAGTCTATAGTCTAGACTTTAGTCTAGTCTATAATCTAGTCTATAGTCTAGTCTATAGTCTAGTCTATAGTCTAGTCTATAGTCTAGTCTATGGTCTAGTCTATAGTCTAGTCTATAGTTAGTCTATTGTCTAGTCTAGTCTATAGTCTAGTCTATAGTCTAGACTTCAGTCTAGTCTATAGTCTAGTCTATAGTCTAGTCTATAGTCTAGTCTATGGTCTAGTCTAAAGTCTAGTCTATAGTCTAGTCTATGGTCTAGTCTATAGTCTAGTCTATAGTCTAGTCTATAGTCTAGTCTATAGTCTAGTCTATAGTCTAGTCTATTGTCTAGTATATAGTCTAGTCTATAGTCTAGTCTATAGTCTAGTTTATAGTCTAGTCTATAGTCTAGTCTGTAGTCTAGTCTATAGTCGAGTCTATAATCTAGTCTTAAGTCTAGTCTATAGTCTAGTCTATAGTCTAGTCTATAGTCTAGTCTATAGTCTAGTCTATAGTCTAGTCTATAGTCTAGTCTATAGTCTAGTCTATAGTCTAGTCTATAGTCTAGTCTATAGTCTAGTCTATAGTCTAGTCTATAGTCTAGTCTATAGTCTAGTCTATAGTCTAGTCTATAGTCTAGTCTATAGTCTAGTCTATAGTCTAGTCTATAGTCTAGTCTATAGTCTAGTCTATAGTCTAGTCTATAGTCTAGTCTATGTCTAATCTATAGTTAGTCTATAGTCTAGTCTATAGTCTAGACTTTAGTCTAGTCTATAGTCTAGACTTTAGTCTAGTCTAGTCTATAGTCTAGTCTATAGTCTAGTCTATAGTCTAGTCTATAGTCTAGTCTATAGTCTAGTCTATGGTCTAGTCTATAGTCTATAGTCTAGTTCTATAGTCTAGTCTATAGTCTAGTCTATAGTCTAGTCTATAGTTAGTCTATTGTCTAGTCTAGTCTATAGTCTAGACTTTAGTCTAGTCTATAGTCTAGTCTATAGTCTAGTCTATAGTCTAGTCTATAGTCTAGTCTATAGTCTAGTCTATAGTCTAGTCTATAGTCTAGTCTATAGTCCAGTCTATAGTCTAGTCTATAGTCTAGTCTATAGTCTAGTCTATAGTCTAGTCTAGTCTATAGTCTAGTCTATAGTCTAATCTATAGTTAGTCTATAGTCTAGTCTAGTCTATAGTCTAGACTTTAGTTTAGTCTATAGTCTAGTCTATAGTCTAGTCTATAGTCTAGTCTATAGTCTAGTCTATGGTCTAGTCTATTGTCTAGTCTAGTCTATAGTCTAGACTTCAGTCTAGTCTATAGTCTAGTCTATAGTCTAGTCTATAGTCTAGTCTATAGTCTAGTCTATAGTCTAGTCTATGGTCTAGTCTATAGTCTAGTCTATAGTCTAGTCTATTGTCTAGTCTATTGTCTAGTCTATAGTCTAATCTATAGTTAGTCTATAGTCTAGTCTATAGTCTAGACTTTAGTCTAGTCTATAGTCTAGACTTTAGTCTAGTCTATAGTCTAGTCTATAGTCTAGTCTATAGTCTAGTCTATAGTCTAGTCTATGGTCTAGTCTATAGTCGAGTCTATAGTCTAGTCTATAGTCTAGTCTATAGTCTAGTCTATAGTCTAGTCTAGTCTAGTCTATAGTCTAGTCTATAGTCTAATCTATAGTTAGTCTATAGTCTAGTCTATAGTCTAGACTTTAGTCTAGTCTATAGTCTAGTCTATAGTCTAGTCTATAGTCTAGTCTATAGTTAGTCTATAGTCTAGTCTACTCTATAGTCTAGTCTATAGTCTAGTCTATAGTCTAGTCTGTAGTCTAGTCTATAGTCGAGTCTATAGTCTAGTCTATAGTCTAGTCTATAGTCTAGTCTATAGTCTAATCTATAGTTAGTCTATAGTCTAGTCTAGTCTATAGTCTAGACTTTAGTCTAGTCTATAATCTAGTCTATAGTCTAGTCTATAGTCTAGTCTATAGTCTAGTCTATAGTCTAGTCTATGGTCTAGTCTATAGTCTAGTCTATAGTTAGTCTATTGTCTAGTCTAGTCTATAGTCTAGTCTATAGTCTAGACTTCAGTCTAGTCTATAGTCTAGTCTATAGTCTAGTCTATAGTCTAGTCTATGGTCTAGTCTAAAGTCTAGTCTATAGTCTAGTCTATGGTCTAGTCTATAGTCTAGTCTATAGTCTAGTCTAGTCTATAGTCTAGTCTATTGTCTAGTCTAGTCTATAGTTATTAGTTTACAGTCTTTATTGTTACATATTTTCTGATTTTGCTTTTTATTTTGCTTTTTTGATCTCATTACTTTTTGTTTCATTTTTGTGTATATTATTCCTATATTTATGTTCTTTTACATTTCTACTTCTTTTCGACGTCCTAGAATATGTTTTTCTTCTCCCAGACAAAAAATGAAATGTCTGCTCGACATGCGGGCACCCGCAAATGGCAAAAGATTATTAATCATGAAAAGGACTCTGCAATTGTTAACAATAATAATCTATATAATGATTTTAATTTATTAAATACAAATTTTAGCAATGATTTCAATACTTCTACTACTACTTCTAATAATTTTCAAAACTCTTCACTTTATCAGGTATTCTGAAAAACCTGCAAATTTGTGTTCTGTTTCGTTTTTTTCTTTTTATTTAAATTTTTTATTAATTGAAATTAAATTTTTTTAGCAAAATTAAAAGAAATTGCTAAAACTTTGGAGAAAACAGAGAGGGTCTTCCAGTTATTAACAGCTTTTACTATTTCTTTAAATTTTGCTGAATTTTTTTTTTTAACAAATTATATTCTTTCCCAAACAAACTGTTACTTTTTATTAGTTTTAACAAATTTTTACTTTAATTTTGTATCAAAAGTTTTTAGAGTTCCTATAACTGTTACTCTAACAATTTTAAAACAGTTCACTGCTTCTGTTACTTTGTAATGTTTAATTTATTTGTTTAAATTTTACTTGAAATTAACTAAAGAAAAACCTAAATAAAATCTTTTTAATTTTAGCCCAAAAAAGTTGATAACACCTCAACTGCTGCGGCTCCTATTACTCATCCTTTGTTTGGTGTTGATCCCAATCAAAATCAAAATGGTTATATGGATCCTAATGCTCATTATCAACAAGTTAGTATTGAAGTTTAAATGAAGTTTCTTAGAAAATTAATTTAATTACTTATTATTCCAACAGCCTGGTATGCCACCACCAACTTCCCAAACTGGTCTACCACCACAAGCTAACATTTTAAATCCCCAACAACCACCTATGATGGGTGGCAGCTCGTATTATAATCCTGCTAATCAAATGCAAAACAATAATTTACCCCAACAACCCATGAATTTTCAAACTTCAGCTATACCCTCTCAACAGCAGCAACAACAACAGCTACCAGCTTGGCAAAATCAACCCACTCAGCCGGGCATGATGGGTGGTTATCAGGAGCAAGCGGCTCAGACTCAAACACATAGACAGCCAGAACCGCCTAAGGAGAAGCCACCACTACCAGAAGAATACATTTATTTGCAGACTGTACTCGAAGAGCTGAAGACAAATTGTTTGAATGCTGCCAATGATCCGGTAAGTTTTGAAAAAAAAAAAATTCACCAAAAAATTTTCACTAAAAATTTCACCAAAAAATTTTCACGAGTAATGTTCACTTGAATTTTCACCAAAACTTTGTTTATATTATTTTTTCAATTCATTTAATAAACCATTTCCTTTTAGCGTACTAAACGTAAATTTGTGGATGTCAACAAGCGTTTGGAAAATCTCTATGATTGTCTAAGAGATGGACGTGTAAGTTATTACAACATATTCTTTAATTTTCTATTCAAAGTTTAATTTTATAATTTCTTTCCTCTTTCAGCTTAATCCCGCTACAATTGAGGCATTAAATCAAATCATACAATTTCTACAAATCGGTGACTATGGCAATGCATTGCAGGTTCATACTCAAATCGCTTTCGGTTCGGACTTTTCACAATGTGCTGGTTTTATGCCGGGCCTTAAGGTACTCATACAATCGGCCAACGAATTACAAGTGTATTTACGATAGATTGTAAAACTTGTTACGAAACTAATATCAACAAAAAGAATGTTCTACTAACTATAAACTTATAAAATTAATTCATTCATTAAAAAAAAAATTACAAATAATTTTGCAATATTATTATTCCATTATCGTTATAGAAATTATATGACTTTTTTAATTTTTTTTGTCTAATTTGCATTTTTAAGTTTGTCTTGTCGTTTATTATTATCTTTTTTTTTTAGTTTTGAAAATTATTTACACTGCTAGCAGTGTGTTGAAAGTAAAAATTGCTTTAATTATTCTAATTTTATTCTAATTTTGTGTAATTTGTTTGGTTTAACTGTTAACATTTTGTTAATTATGAAAGTGCTTCATTTTTTCAACAATTCTATAGTTTGCTTCTCTTAAACAATTTTAAAATGCAATTATGTTTTAAACAATTAACAGTTACATATGTAAACGAGAAATAAATAAAATAATAAAATGTAGTTATTAAAACAACAAATAATTTTTGTTTATTTAATTTGTCGATTTAAATTTGTTAAACATTGTGCACTTCAGCTAATAACTCATACTATTGTTTGTTTGTACTACAGTCTAAAGTCTGGACTATAGTCTGGACTATAGATTAGTCTATAGTCTGGACTATATATTAGTCTATAGTCTGGACTATATATTAGTCTATAGTCTGGACTATAGTATCGTCTATAGTCTGGACTATAGTATCGTCTATAGTCTGGACTATAGTATCGTCTATAGTCTGGACTATAGTCTCGTCTATAGTCTGGACTATAGTCCCGTCTACAGTCTGGACTATAGTCTCGTCTACAGTCTGGACTATAGTCTGGACAATAGTCTCGTCTATAGTCTGGACTATAGTCTCGTCTATAGTCTGGACTTATAGTCCAGGACTATAGTCTCGTCTATAGTCTGGACTATAGTCTCGTCTACAGTCTCGTCTACAGTCTCGTCTATAGTCTGGACTATAGTCTCGTCTACAGTCTGGACTATAGTCTCGTCTATAGTCTGGACTATAGTCTCGTCTATAGTCTGGACTATAGTCTCGTCTATAGTCTGGACTATAGTCTCGTCTATAGTCTGGACTATAGTCTCGTCTATAGTCTGGACTATAGTCTCGTCTATAGTCTGGACTATAGTCTCGTCTGTAGTCTGGACTATAGTCTCGTCTATAGTCTGGACTGTAGTCTCGTCTATAGTCTGGACTGTAGTCTCGTCTATAGTCTGGACTATAGTCTCGTCTATAGTCTGGACTGTAGTCTCGTCTATAGTCTGGACTATAGTCTCGTTAGTCTCGTCTATAGTCTGGACTATAGTCTCGTCTATAGTCTCGTCTATAGTCTGGACTATAGTCTCGTCTATAGTCTGGACTATAGTCTCGTCTATAGTCTGGACTATAGTCTCGTCTAAAGTTTGGACTATAGTCTCGTCTATAGTCTGGACTATAGTCTCGTCTGTAGTCTGGACTATAGTCTCGTCTATAGTCTGGACTGTAGTCTCGTCTATAGTCTGGACTATAGTCTCGTCTATAGTCTGGACTGTAGTCTCGTCTATAGTCTGTACTGTAGTCTCGTCTATATTCCGGACTATAGTCTCGTCTATACTCTGGACCATAGTCTCGTCTATAGCCTGGACTATAGTCTCGTCTATAGCCTGGACTATAGTCTCGTCTATAGTCTGGACTATAGTCTCGTCTATAGTCTTGTCTATAGTCTCGTCTATATTCCGGACTATAGTCTCGTCTATACTCTGGACCATAGTCTCGTCTATAGCCTGGACTATAGTCTCGTCTATAGCCTGGACTATAGTCTCGTCTATACTCTGGACTGTAGTCTCGTCTATAGTCTGGACTATAGTCTCGTCTATAGTCTGGACTGTAGTTTAGTCTATAGTCTGGACTATAGTCTCGTCTATAGTCTGGATTATAGTCTAGATAGATAATAGTCTAAAGTCTGGACTATAGTCTCGTCTAAAGTCTGGTCTATAGTCTCGTCTAAAGTCTGGACTATAGTCTCGTCTAAAGTCTGGACTATAGTCTCGTCTATAGTCTGGACTATAGTCTCGTCTATAGTCTGGACTATAGTCTCGTCTATAGTCTGGACTATAGTCTCGTCTATAGTCTGGACTATAGTCTCGTCTATAGTCTGGACTATAGTCTCGTCTGTAGTCTGGACTATAGTCTCGTCTATAGTCTAGACTGTAGTCTCGTCTATAGTCTGGACTATAGTCTCGTCTATAGTCTGGACTGTAGTCTAGTCTATAGTCTGTACTGTAGTCTCGTCTATAGCCTGGACTATAGTCTCGTCTATAGTCTGGACTATAGTCTCGTCTATAGTCTTGTCTATAGTCTTGTCTATAGTCTTGTCTATAGTCTCGTCTATAGTCTTGACTATAGTCTTGTCTATAGTCTCGTCTATAGTCTAGACTACAGTCTAGCCTATAGTCTGGACTATAGTGTAATCTATAGTCTAATCTATAGTCTAATCTATAGTCTGGTCTATAGTCTAATCTATAGTCTAGTCTGGACTACAGTCTAGTCTATAGTCTGGACTACCGTCTAGTCTATAGTCTGGACTACAGTCTAGTCTATAGTCTGAACTATAGTCTCGTCTATAGTCTGGACTACAGTCTAGTCTATAGGCTAGACTACAGTCTAGTCTATAGTCTGGACTATAGTCTCGTTTATAGTCTGGACTATAGCTTAGTCTACCATCTAGACAGCAGCCTAGTCTATAGCCTATGGTCTGGACTATAGTCTGGACTGTAGACTAGTCAATAGACTAGATAGTCTAATTTGTAATCTGGACTGTAGTCGCGTCTTTACTTTGAATTACATTCATGGCTACAATCTGGACTATAGTCTAATATATAGTCTCGTCCATAGTCTGTGCTATATATGGTCTGGTGTATGGTCTGCTATTCAATACCTATAGGTCCTTCCTATCTTGCTTCAACTTTGTTACAGCATTACTGATTACCATCTCACAACTATTTCGATACAATTTTATTTCAATATTTTTCACTAAAATATTATTTATACAAAACTTTAAATTAAACTAAATTTAATTTTATAAAAAAAAAACAATAATAATAATAAAAAACAACAATTACTATTTAGATAACCAATCGGTAATAATTTCTTCGGTTGGAAAGTTATCAACAGAAATCTATAAAGTAAAATAAATTTAATGTTTTCTTAAAAAAAAAAATAAAAAAAAATCTTACCTCTTGAGTATTTAAAATAGTTTGTGTGGCCGCTTCAGTTTCATCTAAATAACTATTATGTGTCAAGGCAGGATTTTGTATATTTTCTTCATGATCCACTTGACTGCTAAAACCCCTCTCAACATCATTCTCTTCTTCATTATCCTCATCCACCTCATTGTCTTCGCCAACGTCGTTGTCATCGTCAGCATTTATAAAATGCATTTCTTGATTACTGGCCTCATTAGCGGCATTCATTAGTATGGCTGTCTCAGCATCCATATCTTTGTGCACATTTGTATTGGCTGAACTAGTGGCCGCCAGCAATTGTGTGGGATGTACATCGAGTCCATGTTGTTCTTTAAGATGAAAACGTAAAGCAAATATGCGAGCATATGAGGCACCACAAATACTGCAACGATTTTTGAGATTTTTATTGGATTTATGCCCCTTATTGTGGGTTTTCATGTGTATCTTCACCGAGTATAAAGAGGCGAAAGGACGATTGCATTCGGTGCAATTATAGGGTTTACTATGAATATTTTTATGGCCACTTAATTGTACAGAGGTGCGAAAACTTTTACCACAAATATCACATTTATAGCCTCTTTCCACCACATGGGTCTTCAAATGATGCACATAAACCGATTGTTGTTTGAAACGTTTATTACAGGTGGCACACACATAGGGCCGGATATCGGTATGGGTTCTCAAGTGCAAGGTTAGGGAATAAGAAACTCTAAACGTTTTGCCACACACTTCACATTCATAGGGTTTCTCGCCAGTGTGTATACGTTCATGTTTAACCTTTTCATAAGGTCTTTGAAACTCTTTGCCACAATATTGACAAGCATGCTTACGTTTACCGCCTTCTACTGATCCCCCTTGAGCCGAGGTAGAGGGCATTACTTCTTCAGGAACTATAAAATTATTGATTTGTTTAACCGTAGTAGTACTTGTTTTTTTAACATTTGTGATATTATCCACATGCATTTGCATGTGTATTTCATAACTGGGCAGGTTCTCAAATTGTTTATTACATTTCCCACAATTATATTCCTCAAGATTTTGATGCATATTCTTATGAATGACTAAAAGTTTTTGATCAAAACTTGAGAGGAAAAGGAAATTTCATATAAAGTAAAACTTTTTTAAGTATAATAAGTGGAGAATAATTACCTTTTATTGCAGATTTCACAAAAGAATTGATTCAATTCGTTGTATTCATTTTGAGCTCCAACGGGCAAAGCTTCTTGAATGGTTTTAACGGTTTGTTTTTTGTGCATTTTCATGTGTAATCTTGACAAAAGAACCAATAAATGCAGCAATTAAAAAGTGGACTATACTATTTTCTATAGTCCGAACTCTAGTCTATAGTCTAGTCTATAGTCTAGTCTATAGTCTAGGCCATAGTCTAGTCTATGGTCTAGTCTATAGTCTAGTCTATAGTCTAGTCTATAGTCTAGTCTATAGTCTAATCTATAGTTTAGTCTATAGTCTAGTCTATAGTCTAATCTATAGTCTAGTCTATAGTCTAGTCTATAGTCTAATCTATAGTCTAGTCTATAGTCTAGTCCATAGTCTAGTCCATAGTCTAGTATATAGTGTAGTCTATAGTCTAGTCTATAGTCTAGTCTATAGTCTAGTCTATAGTCTAGTCTATAGTCTAGTCTATAGTCTAGTCTATAGTCTAGTCTATAGTCTAGTCTATAGTCTAGTCTATAGTCTAGTCTATAGTCTAGTCTATAGTCTAGTCTATAGTCTAGTCTATAGTCTAGTCTATAGTCTAGTCTATAGTCTAGTCTATAGTCTAGTCTATAGTCTAGTCCATAGTCTAGTCTATAGTCTAGTCCATAGTCTAGTCTATAGTCTAGTCTATAGTCTAGTCTATAGTCTAGTCTAGTCTAGTCTATAGTCTAGTCTAAAGTCTACTCAATAGTCTAGTCTATAGTCTAGTCTATAGAGAAAAAAACTTACTTCAAATTCTTCTCCGATGCAAATACCGTATTACACACTTCACACACTACCGCCACATCATGCAAAGTCTTCGTGTGACCCAGTATATCTTCTGCTTTTTTATGCCATCGCAAATGATTGTTAAACGAACGCAATGAGGTATAATCTTTATCACATAAATGACATCTATAGACATTTTGATCATCATTTTCTACAAGTAAAGTAGAATTCGACTAAAAATGGAAAAATCTCAAAATAAAATGATCCTACATTAGCTACACTATTAAACAGTTAAACATACCTCTATTAAATCAAGGGAATTATGCTCCTGATGGCTACAACAATCATGATTTTCGGCAGTAGTTAAATCTGTAAATACTTGTTGACAATCATAGCAGAAATAACGTTCTTTATCTAATTCCTCTAGCGCATTGGAAACAGCATTCTCCTCTTGTATACAATTTGGTTTCATTTCAATAATTTCCTCTATATTATCAGCATTATCTTCTGTTTCCTCTAAATTTTCTACTAAATCCCATAGCTTATCTCCCGATATAGTTGAGATAATATCCTGTTGTTGTTCCTCTTGTTCTTCTGGATTTTCACTTAGTAATTCTATATAGGGATGATAATTGAGAAAATCTTCTATGGTATTAAAGGCCAAATTGCATTGTTGGCAATAGTAACCCTCTACCAATTGACCGTTTTCATCTATAGTTTCTCTTAAAATCAAATTATGTTTGGATAAATCATCTTCCTGTTCCAAAAATGTTTGCTCTTCAATTATTTCATTAGAATCTGTAGTAATTTGTCTACTTTCTGCATTATTTATTAGATCATTATCATCATCACCATCATATTGAAATGTTTGCTGTTCATTGTCGTTGTTTACCAATTCCCCCGATTCTATATAAATTAATTCTGCTTCCGTTGCACTAAAATTATCCATCACATCATTGTTTTCCTCACTTTTAGTTTCCTTGCTATAATATAGCCAACTTTCCATATCATCGTTAGATTCTTCTATTAAATCGGCCGTTTCCTCTATAAAAACAAATTGATAATTTTTCTTTAGTTTGTAACCTCTTGAGGACACATGGCTTGTTGTTGCTTTATGCTTTTTACTTACCAGCCATTATTTTGCTTATAACTTAAACTTAAAGTTAATTGTGTTCAATATATATTTAACAGTAACAAACTTTTAATTATTTGAATTTAAATCAAAACCAACTTAAAATATATTTGTCCACACCTAACTTCACGAGGATGATGTTATTTTTTTATTTTTTTTTATATATAAACAGCTGTTTTTGATAGCTGACTGAAGAGTGGTGAATATAAAGATAAATATAAGGTGAAAATAAATTGTACAGTAAAACTAGATGAGTTAATATTTGTTTAAAATAAGAAATAATACAATGTATTTATGACCATTGACGAAACAAAATATAGAAAAGCATAAATTAAACTATTTAGAACCATTTCTATGAATATAAACCTGATAAAAATGAAAAAAAAATCTGTCACGTATGTTTTGAAAAAACTTTAATGTTTGTCTTAATATCGAGTTTTTGGCAAATGTATATTTATTTGTATACCTTTCAGCTTCGTATTCATATGTATATTAGTTCATCACTTTATTTGTAAAAGTATATAAATTCCGATACAGACAACGGAGTCTATGTCCGTTAAAACAATTTTTGAAGAACCTAGATTTATGTGGGAGACAAATCTTCAATACTTTTACGAGGCATTCCAATCGGCTCAGAATCATTTTCTTAGTCGTTTAAGTTATGTACGTCTATCTGTATGTCGATGTATGTCCGTTAAAAACAATTTTTGAAGATCCTAGATTTATGTGGGAGACAAATCTTCAATACTTTTACAAGGCATTCCATCGCAATATTCAAGGTAATGGTAACGAACTCTGACACACAGACTTCTCTTGACCCTAGGAAGAAGCCTATTGCAAATACTTGAAATAGGTCCATTATTTCACCATACCACCTGAATATGACTTTGGAGCTAACGAAAAAACGAAAAGAAAGTCAAAAGAGTTTAGAATTTTCAGAGGAATAAAAAATGTTATACTAGAAATTGCTACTTTCTACAATTGTTACATTTAAATCAAATTTTTATCAAAATGATGATAATTTTTTTAATATACATATGTATTTCTATGTATATACATATGTATATACATATACATACAAAGGTGTTTACAAAACACAAAAATAAACAAATTAAAGTGGAATTTTTTAAAGATATCATTTGTGGTTAAAGGCAAAACCAGCTAATTTTAAAATACTTATCATTTTAGAAAAACAAATTTGTTGTTGACCCAAGAAAAGGTCATCTTGATTTGAAAAAGGTCATATTGATAAAAACACAAAAATAGATACGAAACAAATTCCTGGTAAGGGTTTTATTGCATTATTGAAGTTATGCGGTTAAAAAAAAACATATGTACCTACAATCAAAAAATAATGAATACATAGAATGTGCTTCTCGTACAAGAGAAATTTTCAATAGCGGGTCGTAACACATAAAGAATACGTGTAAATCATAACAACCTGCATGGCGAGATGGGTATTATCGTAATAAATATTCTTTGCTATATTGTTATAATCCTAACTAACTAATTAACATTTCACCTGTGTATTCAGGTTGTAACCAACTTTCGTTTTACATCAAGTAATTCTATTATCTTTCCCATCTCTGTTCTTAATACTTTGAGAGCCGCTAACCCTAACCGAATGCAACACTGTGTAATTTATTTCTTATTCACCACTAGTTAAAAGATCTTATTTGAATTTGTTTTTGTTTTCACGAGTTTGTTTTTTATCTTCAACATAATGCTTTAAATTATATTAAAAGTTAAATAATTATTGTAATTAAAGTGGTAATTTCAAAATAACATAGTGCAATTTTGTACCAGTAGCAATGTTCCAACCAGAAACTGAAGATATGTTGCCCAGAATGGCGCCGAAACCTAGTGCGGCTGTGCCAAATGGTGAGGGTATAATACGACCACAAGTGCCTGAAATTTCGATATTATTTGGACAACAGGAATCGAATGTTTTACCACAGCAAAATGTAAATGGTGGTATACAGCAGCAACAGTTTAAAACTAATAATCCACAGCCAAGCTATGCGGCTTGGAAGAAACAAATGTTACCCAAAGTTAATTATACACCTTCCGCTGTAAATATGGCGGAGGTACAATTGTCAGATAGAGGGAATAATAATAACATGATGCCGGATTATAATTCTCCTAGGGCAAATTTGTATCCGTTGAGAACAGCTACTGCACCAGTAGCTAATATGGCGCCAAATGTAGCAGCAAACGATTTTGCCCAATCAAATCCTCTAACATATCGCCGCAGTTTGGAAGGTTGTAACAATAATATGATGTACCAACAACAAATGCCACATTTGCCCCAAACAATGTCATCACAATCGCCTTTGCAATCAATAAAACCGTTGTCAAATCCTATTAACCATTTACCATCTAGAGATGTTTTAACTATTTGTGCTGGAACACAAACAGATGCCAGTTTAGATTCATCCAATAACTATCAGCATAATCTGCAATCAGGTCCCTGGTCAAATTTAGCCTCCAAACAAGATGTTGATGAAATGCGTTTAATATTAGAGGGAATGCAGCAGGAACAGCAACGTATGATAAAAATGCTAGAAACACTTTTGTTTAACCCTGCGGCACAATTTGCCATAAAGCCGCAGTCAAGAGATATGGGAGTGCAGGCAGATTGTGTAGAAAATGGTAATTTTAAAAATTCTTTATTTAAACTCAAAAGCTTAAATATAAAATGTGTTTTCAGATAATCAACCCTTTACAAATGGTGATGCTTTGACTAATAATCAAGCCGAATTCGATATTCCACAACAAGCGGTGGCCAAAAATAAATTCCTACAACATTTAAAGCCCTCCCCCAGCAATATTCTGCAAACTCCTAAGGGAAAACCTATGGCTCAGTCAACCACCTATCGACCAAATTCTCCACAAACTCTACGTTTCCAAACAGAACAAAACCATGAAGTGGCTTCAGCTCCTACTTATCAACAAGTCAGCAGCAAACCTCCTCCCAGCCTACATAAATCGGCCTCGGATACTAGTCTGGCTATGAATGAATTGGCTTTGAAATATTTACCCAATGAAAAGTTAGCGGAATTATTAAACGAACTAAATATGGAATGTCCAACAGGCCAAGTCAATAATTACCCCCTGCCCAGCACACCTGTACGGCAAAGTGGGGATAAATTTGAAAAGGGTCCTTCGGATATATCGAATGCTTCATATAAATACCTTAAAAAGTATCGCCTATTGCCAGAAGATCATGTGGAAGATGAAGAAAATGTTATTGTTAATCAGGACAGAGGAGTGCAGGGGGAAATTTTGGTAAATGTCAATGAGAATCAAGCGTATAATTCACCACAACAGCAGTACAATAATATACGCAATACACCACTTAATCAAAGACAAACACCAACAAACAAATGTTCACCATACGCTGGGCGTTTGCCATTATCACCATTAACCAGAGGAGCTGCAACGCCGCCACTGTCATCAGCTGCCATACAAGCACAACATTTAGTGAATTTAGACAATATAAAACAGCAACCAAAATTCTTATAAATTGTCTTAAATAAAAGCAGTAATTGTAAGTATTAAATGTTATAATAAATAAAAAAGTAAAACGCGAAAAAAGTGCAAAAAAAGACGTAATAAAAAAGTGGTGAGATATAAAATATATATATATGGCCATATTTTGCCTTTTTTCTTTGTTCTACTAGGTTTACACACGTTTTAATGCAAGTGTATATGAAAATGTGTGTGTAAATGCTAAGAGTTGAATTTAGTTTTATTAACCCACCACAGCTATTTGTTTACCTTTTCTTCAACTTGACAAACAGCTGATCGATTGAGGGCAAGCAACAACAACTAGCTGATAAAATATAAACAAAAACAAGAAGAAAAATTTTGGCGCGTTTGCAACGACGTTGACAGAGGCGTTGGAAACGTCAACTAAACGTAAACGTCATCGTCGTGCGTAGTGACTGAACTTTTGGAGGGAAAAACTCTTGTCAGTCGAAATTTGAGCGGGATAACTCACAGACGTGTGCTAAGCAAGAAAGCAAACAGACCAGTCAGTAGTCAGTCATTTGGTGATTATTACTTCATACACATGCATAAAGAAAGAAAAAAAGAAAGAAGTATTTTATTAAATTGGAAATAATTAGAAACTACCTTAACAAAAATAAAGACAAGTAAAAACGCTTTTAAAAGAAAATAAACTAAAGTTTTAAAACAATTAAATTAAAAGCAATATAAACAATTAAAGTTAAACAAAATGGCTCAACCTTCGATAGCTGCCTTTTTTAATACCAGGAAACGTGCTGCGGCTGAAGATGTGGCCAGCATTAAAAATAGAGTAAGTAGTTGCTTACATGTTTTATATGTTTCCACAGAAAACTCCTTGCCGCAACACACGCTGCCAAGGAATTTTGTAAAATTAAGACGCATTTAGTGTTTGTGAAAAAAAACCCACCCTTATTTAAAGAGAATTTCTCTTAATTTAAGGCCCGGCAGCGTGGCTACTATTGTTGTTGTAGTTTTCTAAAGTTTAACAATAAGAGCATGAAACCCTTATTAAATTAAAAATTGTGTTTTTTCCAAAAATTTTAGCGTCTTCTGGATACAACAGAACCAACTAAACAAAATAACACAACTACTGATGCCACTAACAATGAACCTTCCTCCCAACAACAATTGCCCGAGCAACATGATGATATTGCAGCACTTAAGAAAATGGGTATGCGTACCCGTTCCACACGCTCTGCTGCAGTGGTCAAACGTATTGGTGTCCAAGATCCAGCGCAAATACCCGACAGTGGTGTTTCACCCAAGAAAATGTCCAAAATTGAGGAAAGCATTAAACAACAACAGAAATTAGTGCAATTTATACAAAAGGGCCCCTTGTCGCCCCGTAAAAAGGCCACCGCTACCCCCAAATCAAATACAAGACAAAAAACTAATGAGTTAACTCCCTCGAATACCCTAATTACGGCCTTTACCTCTAAAAATAATGCCAATAATGTAGAGAAAGGTTTAAAGACACCCACTAAACAAATTATTAAAGGTTCCAATACCCCTCTCAAACAGGGTGAAATAAAAACAATGGTTAAGAAAGAATTAAATTTCGAAGAAGTTAAAACAAAAATAACACGTAGTGCTAAACTACAAGAACTTAAAGCTTCGTTGGCTCGCATCCAAGAGCTGGAAAAACACGCAAGGCCCAAGAGGAACGTAATCGTAAACTGAAAGAGGGTCTTCTGTCGCCGGCTAAGAAAACTCCTGTAGTACAATTGAAAGAATTCGATAAAATTGAATTGGAAGTTTTGACTAGGTAAGTGGAAACTTTTAAATTTTAAACTAAAGTGAAAATAAGTTTGAAAATTTTGAAATATTTGGTAAAGAAGTGAAATTTTAAACAATTTTTGGTAAATTTTTTTTGGAAAAAGTGTTTCAAAATAATGACAAATATTCAAAATGGAAATCCTCTTCTAACTCTATAATTCTTAAAGTAAAAATGCTGTTAATATTGAACAGTTTTTCCAAACATTTTTTACTGAAATAATACTTCCACCCTTAAACCTGCTTTCAAAATTTTCAAGAAAATGCCTTCGTATACAAAATTTCATTAAATTCTTATAGCTTTTTTACAAATTTCAACTACCCCGTCTTTGCCACAAAGTCAATTATCACTAAACATTTGTATTGAAATGATAACCACCCCTGGTAGGGTAATTTTAAAACATTTGCTATGTTTACTCAAGCGTTCAAACACATTTTTGAAAAAAATGTACAGGAATTTTTAAACAAATTTATTAAATAAGGAATTCCTTAACATATTTTTAGATTTTTTTTGTCATAATTTTAATACAAAAAAGCAATATGATATATTTGCAAGGGTAGCAAATAAGCTATATCTGTCTATATGAGGCTTATAAATGTCTAATGTTGAAGAACAAATTATAATGTTAAAAAGTAACTTTAAAAAATAAATAATTGTGCATTGTGGTATATTTACAAGGGTGGTAAATAAGCTATATCTTGCTATTTATGTTCTTTAACGTCTAATCTTTAAGTAAAACTCTAAAAAAAGTTGAAATTGTTCATTGTAGTATCTTTACAAGAGTAGTAAATAAGCAATAGCTTGCTATTTATCACTATTACATTTCTTTTTTAAACCTTACTTATTTACAAGACCTATTAGCTATGATTTTTTAACACTGCAAAGTATTAGGAAAAAGTGAAAGTTATACTTTTTGTATATTTGCAAGGCTAGCAAATAAGCAATTTCTTTTTATCTCTATATATATGCAATGGTAGCAAAAATGCAATAAAAAATTTTACTTTTTTGGACTTAAAATATTTGCTAGATCTTTTTGTATGGATTTTTAGACTTACAAATGTGGTAAAATGTAGTAAAGTACTTTTTTATGCTTAAAATCTACATTATTTTCATGTTTCTTCGTTTAGGTGTAATAAAATATAGAATTTTTGTTAGTTTAGTATATATGCAAGACTTGTTTGCAATGCTTGTTAGTTTTGTAAACAGGGTTAAGTGTAGTAAAGTGTAGTTTTGGACATTTTTGTGTTAAACTACTTGTAGACTTAACTTTTTCCTCAAAATTAAACTTTTTACAACATTTGCAAGGATAGCAAAAAAGCAATAGTTGTTTTTAAGGTCTGGTTTTTGTTTAAAAATGTTATTTTTAAGGTTTTAGCATATTTGCAAGACCAAATTGTAATAATTTTTGGTCTTGCAAATATGGTAAAATGTAGCAAAGTACTGGTTAAGTGTAGTAAAGTATATTTTTGGTAATTTTTGTTTAAAACTATTGGCAAACTTAACTTTTTCCTCTAAATTATACTTTTTACAATATTTACAAGGGTAGGAAAAATGCAATAGTTGTTTTTAAGGTTTGGTTTTTGTTTAAAAATGTTATTTTTAAGGTTTTAGCATATTTGCAAGACCAAATTGTAATAATTTTTGGTCTTGCAAATATGGTAAAATGTAGCAAAGTACTGGTTAAGTGTAGTAAAGTATATTTTTGGTAATTTTTGTTTAAAACTATTGGCAAACTTAACTTTTTCCTCTAAATTTAACTTTTTACAACATTTGCAAGGGTAGCAAAAAAGCAATAGTTGTTTTTAAGGTCTGGTTTTTGCTTAAAAATGTTAATTTTTAGGTTTTAGCATATTTGCAAGACCAAATTGTAATAATTTTAGGTCTTGCAAATATGGTAAAATGTAGCAAAGTACCGGTTAAGTGTAGTAAAGTATAGTTTTGGTAATTTTTGTTTAAAACTATTGGTAAACATAACTTTTTTCCTCTAAATTATACTTTTTACAATATTTGCAAGTGTAGCAAAAATGCAATAGTTATTTTTTAAGATTGTTTTTTGTTTAAAAATTTTATTTGTACGGTTTTAGCATATTTGCAAGACCAAATTGCTATAATTTTTAGTCTTGTAAATATAGTAAAATGTAGTAAAATACTGGTTTAGTATAGTAAAGTATAGTTTCGGGCATTATTGTTTAAAACTATTAGTGAACTTGACTTTCTTCCTCTTTTTACAATATTTGCAAGGGTAGCAAAAAAGCAATAGTTGTTTTTAAGTTTGTTTTTTGTTTAAAAATTTTATTTTTTAGGTTTTAGCATATTTGCAAGACCAAATTGCTATAATTTTAGGACTTGCAAATGTGGTAAAATGTAGTAAAGTTATATATTATACTTAAATTTGTTATAATCTGATAAACTTTAGAATTTTTTGTTAGAATACCACGTTTTTTCTATAAAATTGTTATAAATTTTTTAAAAATTTCTTTAATATTCTTTAGTTTTTTTTTTTACATTTTTTATATAAATGTCTATTCATTAGCGGAATAGTGAGTTTCTTAGTTTAAAAATAACTTTTTAAAAGTTGTTGTTTGACGCTATTTATACTTGAAATGTTTTGGCCTATTGCCAATGAAACCTTGACCTATCCCATTAAACTTTCTTCCACACAAAATCATGTTCCCGTGTTCTATATTTAAATAAAACTGCAATTACACAAATAAACTTTATTAAAGAATTTTTATTAATTTAAAACAAACTTTAGTTTATTCATGGTTTTGAGTTTAAGGTGGCCTACAAAAAGTCTTAACTAAACTTGGTTTCTTTTGTTTTTTTGTTTGCATTTTATAATTGAGGTCATTAGTTATTACAAAAAAATTTAAGTAAATTAAGCATTTTGTTTAAAATTAAAGAAAATATAAGTAATTTTGTTATGGAAATTAAAAAAAAATATTTTCAAAACTTTTTTAACTAAAGCCAAGGACTAGCTAAATTATCCTTTGTATAGCTTTTATTGGGTATTTAAAATAGTTTAGTTTGTGGATTGTATATAGTAGATAGTTGTTGTCATTACATTACTTTCTTTATATTTCTGCTGACTTTGTTTTAATTGCTGTAAGTGAAGTTAATGAAAAAGTGATGAACGACCCCCACCATATGTTGTTAAATAAAATGTTTACATTTTAACTATTTTTTCATCATAATAATGCATTGTTGTCATTTTCTCTATATTTAGTTTATATAAACGAGTATTTGTTAAAACTAGAATTAAAAACAAAGTAACATTTTAAATGCATAAACATATGGGTTTGTTGTTGCTATACATACTACAGAGTAAATAAGTCATTGTATACTTTACCCAGTAATTACTTTTTATGTTTACTTTCTTATTACTCTCTTCCTTTTTTCCACTTTATTTACTTTAGGAATATTTTATTTATATTTGATCGTTATGTTTTTTCTTTCTCCGGGGGTGGTTTTTTGTCCGTTACAAAACTCTTATAGGGGTTTTTGTTGTTGTTGTTGCTATAAGTCTTATTCTTAAGAGAGTTTACAGCTGGTTTTCTTATTACTGATAAACCTTGCCTATTTAGTTTTTTATTTTGTTAAACCAGTTTTTAACAAAAAAAAAAAAGGTTCTCAGTTTTCTATCTCTCGGTCTGTCCGTCTTGCTGTCTGTGCCAGGTAGCTTGTCTGTTTAGTTTTCCTTATTCTTAACACATTTCTATAACTACTAAGATCTTTAATACTCAGCTGGTGAGCTAAAACTACCCTTAAAATGTTTGTTATTATGATCACGTATCTTTCAGATACTATGTACTCTTAAAATAGCAAAACATTCCTTAAAAAATTAAAAAAACAGAAATCACCAAAAACGTTAGAATTTAATTTATGTTTATTCTTTAGAAAAGAGAACTTGATGATCTTGCTGAATGTATGATAATTAATAAAAATATACGAGGGTTAATCTCTGTAGTTTGAAAATGTTACATTTTTAGATAATTCTCTACATTAAGATCACTCTAAAACTTTATTCAAGAAGATAGATAGATGACTTTAGATGACTGCAAAAGATCAGATTGATCTATATCGTGAAGATCGGAGTCTTCGATCTCGTATATATAGAAAATCTAAAGATCTCTTTATGAAGATCCATATTTCTTTAGATTTCTCTGAAAGATGACTTAAGATATATACATAGCTGCAAAAGACCAGATTGATCTACATTGTCCACCGTGAAGATCAGTGTCTTCGATCTTGAATATATAGAAAACATAAAGATCTCTTTATATACATAGCTGCAAAATACCAGATTGATCTACATTGTCCACCGTGAAGATCAGTGTCTTCGATCTTGAATATATAGAAAACATAAAGATCTCTTTATGAAGATCCGTATTTCTTTAGATTTCTCTGAATCTTTATTTAAGAAGAAATATGACTAAAGATACATATGTAGCTACAAAATACCAGATTGATCTACATTGTCTATCGTGATGATCAGTGCATTCGATCTCGAATATATAGAAAACATAAAGATCTCTTTATGAAGATTCATATTTCTTTAGATTTTTCGGAAACTTTATTTAAGAAGAAAGATGACTTAAGATATATAGATATATAGCTGCAAAAGACCACATTGATCTACATTGTCCACCGTGAAGATCAGTGCGTTCGATCTCGAATATATAGAAAATATAAAGATCTCTTTATGAAGATCCGTATTTCTTTAGATTTCTCTGAATCTTTATTTAAGAAGATATATGACTTTAAATGGCTGCAAAAGACCAGATTGATCTACATCGTGAAGATCAGTGCGATCGATCTCGTATATATAGAAAACATAAAGATCTCTTTATAAAGATCACTGTTTCTTTAGATTTTTCTGAAACTTTATTTAAGAAGAAGGATGGCTTAAGATATATATGCACATAGCTGCAAAAGACCACATTTATCTACATTGTCCACCGTGAAGATTAGTGCGTTCGATCTCGAATATATAGAAAATATAAAGATCTCTTTATGAAGATCCGTATTTCTTAGATTTCTCTGATGAATCTTTATTTAAGAAGATAGATGACTTTAGGACTGCAAAAGACCAGATTGATCTAGATCTTGAAGATCAGAAGCGATCGATCTCGAGATAGAAAACAGAAAGAGCGCGGTAGAAAAAGCACGGGGCGGGGGAGGCGCGGAAACGGGAGGAAGAAGAAAGGACGGGAAAGGGCGGCAAAAGACCAGAGGGAGCGACAGCGGGAAGAGCAGAGAGGGGGACGAAAAAGGGGGGCGAAAACGGGGCAGGAAAAAAAGGGCACCAAAGAGGGGCACCAAAAAAGGGCGCGAAAAGGGGCACCAAAAAAGGGCGCGAAAAGGGGCACGAAAAGGGGCGCGAAAAAGGGGACCAACAAAGGGCACGAAACAAGGGCGCGAAAAGGGGCACCAACAAAAGGGGGGAAAAAAAGGGCCCCAAAAAGGGCCGAAAAAAGGGCACCAAAGAGGGCACGAAAAAGGGCACCAAAAAGGGGCAGAAAAAAAGGGCACGAAAAAAGGGCACCAAAAAGGGGCAGAAAAAAGGGGCACGAAAAAAGGGCACCAAAAAGGGGCCCGAAAAAAGGGGCACCAAAAGAGGGCACCAAAAAGGGGGCACCAAAAGAGGGCACGAAAAAGGGCACCAAAAAAGGGGCAGGAAAAGGGCGCGAAAAAGGGGCACCAACAAAGGGCACGAAAAAAGGGCGCGAAAAAGGGGCACCAACAAAAGGGGGAAAAAAAGGCCGCAAAAGGGGCCGAGAAAAGGGCACCAAAAAGGGGGCGAAAAAAGGCACCAAAAAGGGGGCGAAAAAAGAGGGCACGAAAAAAGGCACCAAAAAGGGGCAGCAACAAGGGGCACGAAAAAAGGGCAAGAAAAAGGGCCCGAAAAAGGGCACCAAAAAGGGGGCCAAAAAAGGGGGAAAAAGGTCACCAAAAAGGGCCCTCAAAAGGCGTAAAAATGGCAGCAAAAAAGGCTCGAAAAATTTTCATCAAAAAATTTCTCTAAAAATTTGCATCAAAACTTTAACAAAATTTTACAATTTTTATTAATTTCCCTTTTCTTTCTCCTTTACAGCCCTTCAAAAACCTTTAAAACACCCACAAAACTACCACCCAAAACTCCAGACAAAAATGAACTTATGTCGCCACGTCACACCGATGTCTCCAAGCGTGTACTCTTCAGTCCCGCCAAAATGGGCTCACCTTCAAAATGGTTGTACCGCCAGCCTAATCAACGTTTCATGTCTTTGGCTGAAAGCAGTAAAGCTGGTCAGCTACCTCTACCCTATAAATATAGACATTTAATAGAGATTTTTAAGGCCTTGGACTCAGTCTGTGCCATGTTTCATAATCGCAAGGAATGCATAACATTTAAGAAATTAAAACCGGCGGTACAGAGAATGATGCGTAAGAATTTCTATGAAACACATTTGGCTCAAATCAAACATCTCTATCCCGAGGCTTTTATTTTCACACAAATGAAAATGCGTAATTATGGTTCAGCCTCTAAGGCTGATTACTTCCAATTGGTTATAGCACCCAATGTAGAAAATCTACCCGAGAAATTGAAACTTAACAAGATCGATGAAGATGATATTTTGGCTTCGGCTCAAAATAATTCCATGAATCCACATGTTATGACCGAAAGGTTACAGAAATTCCAGAATGCCTTATTGGAAAAGGTGAAAAATGAACATGATAAGTTCTTGAAATCACTGGATCCCCCTCTTTCTATACCCAAGGAAAAAGTAACACGTTGGCATCCAGATTTCGATTTGGAAAATTGTCCCGAAATAGAATTGGGCCATTTGCCACAACCACCAAATGTAGAGAAATATTCATCGGCCAAGGATATTTTATCCACGGCCAGAAATCTTTTCAACTGTTCCACACCCATGGAAAGGGTAATGGAAAGATATGAAGCTAAATTGGAGGCTGACAAAGTAAAGGCTGAAAATTTGAAGAATGCAGAAAACACTAGCAGTACAGGAGAAACTAGTAAAACAAGTGAAACTACAAAAACTGCTGCAGCAACTGCAGTTACTAGTAAAACAGCTACAACAGCAGAAACTGCTAAGACACCAGCAGCAGATGCCACCTCTACCCTCTTAAAGGGTGTACCCAAATCGTTATTAGAGAAAATACGCGCCAAACAGGCAGCCAAAGCTTTAGATGCTATGACACGTAGACCTTCTCAGGATCAGGAGGCTACTAAATATTCCCGTCTACCGAATTGGCTCGTCATTTACGCAATGTTTTCATTACCGAACGCAAAGGTGTTCTCACTCAAGAGATTATCATTAAGAAAATTCAAAATAGTTTCCGTACCAGTCTAACGCCACAAGAAATTGAAAATCATTTACAACTTATGGCTAAAGAAGTGCCCGCTTGGTTGGCCTTCATGAAGTACGCAAGACCATGTATTTGAAAATTAACAAAGACATGGATTTAACTAAGATCATAGAACGTCTGGAAGCAGTGGCCAATGAGAAAAGTAAAATGTAGACAATCACATCATCACTTGTACTAATAAACTACTAATAACCATACAAAAGCCTAACTAACTGATTTTTAACCCCCACCCCGTCATTTTACCCTTATTAATATTAGTAATTAAATAATTTAAGTTTAATAAAAACCTTAACATTTGAAATGTTCTCCATTTAATATTTTTCTCTTTGGACTTGCTTATTTTTATTATTATTATAATTCCTACTTCTTAAGTTATTTGTTATACATATTAGTTAGTAATTATATTAGTATTAAACATTTGTTTCATTATTTTATTGCTACGGCGTTTGTCTAACTTCTATATTAGAAAAACAGCAAACATTATTTTAATAAAAACAATAAAAATAATTTGCTTAATATAATAATTCCCCCCTTGTATTTGTTATTTGTTTATTTAAAAACTCATAATCATCACAACCAGCCAGTAATCCCACCCCCATACCCCCGTCAATAACTTGTTTATTATATAACGTCAATTTAAATTTATATATTTAATTTAATATAAGTTATTTACAAAATTTAACAAACTCCTCTAGTACAATATTATAATTTTTTTTAATGATTTAATAAAGTTGCTCAATAGCAAAAAACAAAAGATTATGTTGTTGGATAAAACTTTATTTTTTAAAACAGACAGATCAATCTATAGTCGAGAATGTAGATAAATCTATAAGCGGAACTGGAGGTCAATCTATAGTTGAGACTACAGATCAAAGTCTAGACTACAATGTAGTCTATAGTCTAGTCCATACTCTAGTCTGTAGTCCAGTCTATAGTTAGTATATAGTATAGTCAATCACCTAGTCTATAGTCTAGTCTATAGTCTAGTCTATAGTCTAGTCTATAGTCTAGTCCATAGTCTAGTCTAAAGTCTATAGTCTAGTCAGTAGTCTCGCCAAGTCTATAGTTTAGTATATAGTATAGTCTATAACATAGCCTATAGTCTAGTCCATTGTCTAGTCCATAGTCTAGTCCATAGTTAGTCTGTAGTCTGTAGTCTAGTCTATAGTCTAGTCTATAGTCTAGTCTATAGTCTAGTCTATAGTCTAGTCTATAGTCTAGTCTATAGTCTAGTCTATAGTCTAGTCTATAGTCTAGTCTATAGTCTAGTCTATAGTCTAGTCTATAGTCTAGTCTATAGTCTAGTCTATAGTCTAGTCTACAGTCTAGTTTATAGTCTAGTCCATTGTCTAGTCTATAGTCTAGTCTATAGTCTAGTCTATAGTCTAGTCTGTAGTCTAGTCTATAGTCTAGTCTATAGTCCCAGTTATAGTCTAGTCTAAAGTCTAGTCTATAGTCTAGTCTAAAGTCTAGTCTATAGTCTAGTCCATAGTCAAGTCTATAGTCTTGTCTATAGTCTAGTCTATAGTCAAGTCTATAGTCTAGTCTAGACTATAGTCTATTCTAAAGTCTAGTCTATAGTCTAGTCTCTAGTCTAGGGTATAGTCTATTCTAAAGTCTAGTCTATAGTCTAGTCTCTAGTCTAGGGTATAGTCTAGTCTATAGTCTAGTCTATAGTCTAGTCTATAGTCTAGTCTATAGTCTAGTCTATAGTCTAGTCTATAGTCTAGTCTATAGTCCAGTTATAGTCTAGTTTAAAGTCTAGTCTATAGTCTAGTCTATAGTCTAGTCTATAGTCTAGTCTATAGTCTAGTCTAAAGTCTAGTCTATAGTCTAGTCTATAGTCAGTCTATAGTCTAGTCTAGTCTAAAGTCTAGTCTATAGTCTAGTCTATAGTCTAGTCTATAGTCTAGTCTATAGTCTAGTCTATAGTCTAGTCTATAGTCTAGTCTATAGTCTAGTCTATAGTCTAGTCCATAGTCTAGTCTATAGTCTAGTCTATAGTCTAGTCTATAGTCTAGTCTATAGTCGAGTCTATAGTCTAGTCTATAGTCTAGTCTATAGTCTAGTCTATAGTCTAGTCTATAGTCTAGTCTATAGTCTAGTCTATAGTCTAGTCTATAGTCTAGTCTATAGTCTAGTCTATAGTCTAGTCCCATATAGTACTAGTCTATAGTCTAGTTATCGTCTAGTCTATAGTCTAGTCTTAGTCTAGTCTATAGTCTAGTCTATAGTCTAGTCTATAGTCTAGTCTATAGTCTAGTCTATAGTCTAGTCTATAGTAGTCTTAATAGTTCTCTAGTCTATAGTCTTAGTCTATAGTCTAGTCTATAGTCTAGTCTATAGTCTAGTCTATAGTCTAGTCTATAGTCTAGTCTATAGTCTAGTCTATAGTCTAGTCTATAGTCTAGTCTATAGTCTAGTCTATAGTCTAGTCTACAGTCTAGTCTATAGTCTAGCTATAGTCTAGTTCTATAGTCTAGTCTATAGTCTAGTCTATCGTCTAGTCTATAGTCTAGCTATAGTCTAGTCTATAGTCTAGTCTATAGTCTAGTCTATGTCTTGTTCTATAGTCTAGTCTATGTCTAGTCTATAGTCTAGGTCTATAGTCTAGTCTATTAGTCTAGTCTATAGTCTAGTCTATAGTCTAGTCTATAGTCTAGTCTATAGTCTAGTCTATAGTTCTAGTCTATAGTCTAGTCTATAGTCTAGTCTATAGTCTAGTCTATAGTCTAGTCTATAGTCTAGTCTATAGTCTAGTCTATAGTCTAGTCTATAGTCTAGTCTATAGTCTAGTCTATAGTCTAGTCTATAGTCTAGTCTATAGTCTAGTCTATAGTCTAGTCTATAGTCTAGTCTATAGTCTAGTCTAGTCTATGGTCTAGTCTATAGTCTAGTCTATAGTCTAGTCTAGTCTATGGTCTAGTCTATAGTCTAGTCTATAGTCTAGTCTAGTCTATAGTCTAGTCTATAGTCTAGTCTATAGTCTAGTCTATAGTCTAGTCTATAGTCTAGTCTAGTCTAGTCTATAGTCTAGTCTATAGTCTAGTCTAGTCTAGATTATAGTCTAGTCTATAGTCTAGTCTATAGTCTAGTCTATAGTCTAGTCTATAGTCTAGTCTATAGTCTAGTCTATAGTCTAGTCTATAGTCTATAGTCTAGTCTGTAGTCTAGTCAATCTGTAGTAGAACTTTAAGGGCGGGTTTTTGAGTTGGCAATCAAGTGCCAATAAATATTCAGATTAGCTAATCTGAAAATAATTTAAATCTTATGTAATCCCCTTTGATATTTTTTAGTAGAAGATTAAATTTCGCAGTGCTGCCATACAAAACAGCAGAAAACGTCACTGTTTGATATCAAACAAATAAATAATATGGCATTTTCACACCTTTGTGTAGCAAAGTCAACAACCTTCCCAACAAAACTAAAGTATTTAAATCAAGACAACAACCATAAATAGCAAATACACCACTATTTTAAAAGGTGAATTAGAAAACAATTACAATTCCCATATTCTTTTTTTGTCTCCCGTTTAGTATAAATACCAGAAGTAAATTGCTAACAAATGTGTAGTGGAAAAGGAGAGCAAGTTAGCACTCCCCTAGACAAGGATGGAATCACATAAAGGCCGGAATAGGCACAGACAAGTTCCGGCCGCCAATTTTTTCGAAGAAAACTAAAATAAAATAAATAATCATATCGTGTAATTAAAAACTTTATTTTTGGTATTATGCAGTGGCTAACAAAACATAATAAACAAAAATAAGTGATCAATAAAATGAGATTTTTTTAACAATTTTATAAAAGAAACAAAACCAACATACAATTTTAACAAATTTTAATATTAATAAAAACATAATAATTTAAGGATTAACTAAAATTTTTTAACAAATTTGCATAATTTCAATATTTTTTTCGTTCGTTTAGTTATCTTTAAAAGAATTTATCTTTCAAACCAAAAACTTTTTCTCAAAACAACAACGAATAACAGTGACAACCGAGATGTTTAATAAAATTCGCTATAACATAAAGACTAGCGGATATCGCCACAAATAACGTTAACCAATCTAAAAAACTAAAGTGTTGTGACCCTTTAGGTCGGATGTGCTGTTGCAAACCCAACCAACCACCACGCTCTGCCAGCCACTGAACCAAATCATCTTCTATAATATCACCTACACCATCAATTAAAAATTGCAAATAATCATAGTGACCCTGACGCACACAGTCAATGGCGAAACCACCGCAAACAGCAAATACTGAAATTATTTTTGCCCAGGTTATACGCTCTTTATCGTGATTCCGTGAGAATAACTCTTTGGCTACGAGATTCAAGAGCATAGGTGCTGTATCACTATCTACCAGTTCGCCATAGGGTGCTCGCGATAATTGTCGCGAAACATTTGTATAGACACGTGGATGCATTCGTTCCAGTTCTTCGCCCATCTATAAAAGGTTTAGAGTAAGTTTATATTGCAAATTTAGTACATGTATTTTTGTATAACTTACACTGTTAAGTGCTGGAAATACTTCGTACACTACTTCGGACGAGGGTTCCAATTGCATCGTAACCTTTGTATGGCTTTACGATTTAAAACACCCCTCTTCTTAGACGGGCCCTTATATATTGACCACAAAGGCACTTTCCCTGAAAGCAGAAGAATATTTATGAAATATTTTAAATTTATTAATATTATAGATCAAACAATCGCCAAATCTATGGATTAGGCTATAGTCGAGACCAAAGAAACAGATTTTGATCAAATTTATAGAACCGACCATAGTCGAAACTATAGAGCAGATACTAAACTATACACTAGACTATAGACTAGACTAAACTGTAGACTATACTATAGACTAGACTATAGACTAGACTATAGACTAGACTTTAGACTAGACTTTAGACTAGACTATAGACTAGACTAAACTAGACTATAGACTAGACTATAGACTAGACTATAGACTAGACTATAGACTAGACTATAGACTAGACTATAGACTAGACTATAGACTAGACTATAGACTAGACTATAGATAGACTATAGATAGACTATAGACTAGACTATAGACTAGACTAGACTAGACTATAGACTAGACTATAGACTAGACTATAGACTAGACTATAGACTAGACTATAGACTAGACTATAGACTAGACTATAGACTAGACTATAGATAGACTAGACTATAGGCTAGACTATAGACTAGACTATAGACTAGACTATAGACTAGACTATAGACTAGACTATAGACTAGACTATAGACTAGACTATAGACTAGACTATAGACTAGACTAGACTATACTATAGACTAGACTATAGACTAGACTATAGACTAGACTATAGACTAGACTATAGACTAGACTATAGACTAGACTATAGACTAGACTATAGACTAGACTATAGACTAGACTATAGGCTAGACTATAGACTAGACTATAGACTAGACTATAGACTAGACTATAGATTAGACTATAGACTAGACTATAGACTAGACTATAGACTAGACTATAGACTAGACTAGACTAGACTATAGACTAGACTATAGACTAGACTATAGACTAGACTATAGACTAGACTAGACTATAGACTAGACTATAGACTAGACTATAGACTAGACTATAGACTAGACTATAGACTAGACTATAGACTAGACTATAGACTAGACTATAGACTAGACTATAGACTAGACTATAGACTAGACTATAGACTAGACTATAGACTAGACTAGACTATAGACTAGACTATAGACTAGACTATAGACTAGACTATAGACTAGACTATAGACTAGACTATAGACTAGACTATGGACTAGACTATAGACTAGACTAGACTAGACTATAGACTAGACTATAGACTAGACTATAGACTAGACTATAGACTAGACTATAGACTAGACTATAGACTAGACTATATACTAGACTATAGACTAGACTATAGACTAGACTATAGACTAGACTATAGACTAGACTATAGACTAGACTATAGACTAGACTATAGACTAGACTATAGACTAGACTATAGACTAGACTATAGACTAGACTATAGACTAGACAATAGACTAGACTATAGACTAGACTATAGACTAGACTATAGACTAGACTATAGACTAGACTATAGACTAGACTATAGACTAGACTATAGACTAGACTATAGACTAGACTATAGACTAGACTATAGACTAGTCTATAGACTAGACTATAGACTAGACTATAGACTAGACTATAGACTAGACTATAGACTAGACTATAGACTAGACTATAGACTAGACTATAGACTAGACTATAGACTAGACTATAGACTAGACTATAGACTAGACTATAGACTAGACTATAGACTAGACTATAGACTAGACTATAGACTAGACTATAGACTAGTCTATAGACTAGACTATAGACTAGACTATAGACTAGACTATAGACTAGACTATAGACTAGACTATAGACTAGACTATAGACTAGACTATAGACTAGACTATAGACTAGACTATAGACTAGACTATAGACTAGACTATAGACTAGACTATAGACTAGACTATAGACTAGACTATAGGCTAGACTATAGACTAGACTATAGACTAGACTATAGACTAGACTATAGACTAGACTATAGACTAGACTATAGACTAGACTATAGACTAGACTATAGACTAGACTATAGACTAGACTATAGACTAGACTATAGACTAGACTATAGACTAGACTATAGACTAGACTATAGACTAGACTATAGACTAGACTATAGACTAGACTATAGACTAGACTATAGACTAGACTATAGACTAGACAATAGACTAGACTATAGACTAGACTATAGACTAGACTATAGACTAGACTATAGACTAGACTATAGACTAGACTATAGACTAGACTATAGACTAGACTATAGACTAGACTATAGACTAGACTATAGACTAGACTATAGACTAGACTATAGACTAGACTATAGACTAGACTATAGACTAGACTATAGACTAGACTATAGACCAGACTATAGACTAGACTAAGACTAGACTATAGACTAGTCTGTAGACTAGACTATAGACTAGACTATAGACTAGACTATAGATTAGACTATAGACTAGACTATAGACTAGACTATAGACTAGACTATAGACTAGACTATAGACTAGACTATAGACTAGACTATAGACTAGACTATAGACTAGACTATAGACTAGACTATAGACTAGACTATAGACTAGACTATAGACTAGACTATAGACTAGACTATAGACTAGACTATAGACTAGACTATAGACTAGACTATAGACTAGACTATAGACTAGACTATAGACTAGACTATAGACTAGACTATAGACTAGACTATAGACTAGACTATAGACTAGACTATAGACTAGACTATAGACTAGACTATAGACTAGACTATAGACTAGACTATAGACTAGACTATAGACTAGACTATAGACTAGACTATAGACTAGACTATAGACTAGACTATAGACTAGACTATAGACTAGACTATAGACTAGACTATAGACTAGACTATAGACTAGACTATAGACTAGACTATAGACTAGACTATAGACTAGACTATAGACTAGACTATAGACTAGACTATAGACTAGACTATAGACTAGACTATAGACTAGACTATAGACTAGACTATAGACTAGACTATAGACTAGACTAGACTAGACTATAGACTAGACTATAGACTAGACTATAGACTACACTATAGACTAGACTATAGACTAGACTATAGACTAGACTATAGACTAGACTATAGACTAGACTATAGACTAGACAATAGACTAGACTATAGACTAGACTATAGACTAGACTATAGACTAGACTATAGACTAGACTATAGACTAGACTATAGACTAGACTATAGACTAGACTATAGACTAGACTATAGACTAGACTATAGACTAGACTATAGGCTAGACTATAGACTAGACTATAGACTAGACTATAGACTAGACTATAGACTAGACTATAGACTAGACTATAGACTAGACTATAGACTAGACTATAGACTAGACTATAGACTAGACTATAGACTAGACTATAGACTAGACTATAGACTAGACTATAGACTAGACTATAGACTAGACTATAGACTAGACTATAGACTAGACTAGACTAGACTAGACTAGACTATAGACTAGACTATAGACTAGACTATAGACTAGACTATAGACTAGACTATAGACTAGACTATAGACTAGACTATAGACTAGACTATAGACTAGACTATAGACTAGACTATAGACTAGACTATAGACTAGACTATAGACTAGACTATAGACTAGACTATGGACTTGACTATAGACTAGACTATAGACTAGACTATGACTAGACTATAGACTAGACTATAGACTAGACTATAGACTAGACTATAGACTAGACTATAGACTAGACTATAGACTAGACTATAGACTAGACTATAGACTAGACTATAGACTAGACTATAGACTAGACTATAGACTAGACTATAGACTAGACTATAGACTAGACTATAGACTAGACTATAGACTAGACTATAGACTAGACTATAGACTAGACTATAGACTAGACTATAGACTAGACTATAGACTAGACTATAGACTAGACTATAGACTAGACTATAGACTAGACTATAGACTAGACTATAGACTAGACTATAGACTAGACTATAGACTAGACTATAGACTAGACTATAGACTAGACTATAGACTAGACTATAGACTAGACTATAGACTAGACTATAGACTAGACTATAGACTAGACTTAGACTAGACTATAGACTAGACTATAGACTAGACTATAGACTAGACTATAGACTAGACTATAGACTAGACTATAGACTAGACTATAGACTAGACTATATAGACTATACTAGACTATAGACTAGACTATAGACTAGACTATAGACTAGACTATAGACTAGACTATAGACTAGACTATAGACTAGACTATAGACTAGACTATAGACTAGACTATAGACTAGACTATAGACTAGACTATAGACTAGACTATAGACTAGACTATAGACTAGACTATAGACTAGACTATAGACTAGACTATAGACTAGACTATAGACTAGACTATAGACTAGACTATAGACTAGACTATAGACTAGACTATAGACTAGACTATAGACTAGACTATAGACTAGACTATAGACTAGACTATAGACTAGACTATAGACTAGACTATAGACTAGACTATAGACTAGACTATAGACTAGACTATAGACTAGACTATAGACTAGACTATAGACTAGACTATAGACTAGACTATAGACTAGACTATAGACTAGACTATAGACTAGACTATAGACTAGACTATAGACTAGACTATAGACTAGACTATAGACTAGACTATAGACTAGACTATAGACTAGACTATAGACTAGACTATAGACTAGACTATAGACTAGACTATAGACTAGACCTTAGACTAGACTATAGACTAGACTATAGACTAGACTATAGACTAGACTATAGACTAGACTATAGACTAGAATATAGACTAGATTATAGTTTGATATTTTTGTGTTAAAAAACTTATTTCAAAAACATTAAGCATTATATATTTTCGCTAAATATATTAATGATCAGCAACAAAAATTGTATCTCATTTCTCAAATGACACAAGGTTAAAAAACGTAGTACTTATTGCGCTTAGAAAAAAATAATAATAAAAAGATGCTTATTATTTATTTGTTAAGAAAAAAACTACATAAATTTCGCTCTTTTTACGCTTTTGTTGTAAATAGCATGACACAAAAGATAATTGTTTTGAAACTGAAAATAAAAATGTAACACAAATGTGGTATTTTCCTTAAACAATGTAATCATAAAAAAAAATATAAAAATAAATAATTGCCTACAAATAAATTTTGCGGTAAGCAGTAATAAAATGACATTGTTATTACAACGTATTTCGAAGCTGAAATATCGTTACTTTACGGTAAAATGTCAGTTTACACTTAAAGAGGCAGATAATTGTGTATGAATTAAAATTTTACAAATTTTTTTGATGTTTAATATTCTATAAATTTCAAAAGTTTTTTACCATTTCTAAATAAACTAATAAAATTTCAACATCTTGTTCGTGTAAACAAATCTCATCATTTTTGGAAATACATTTATTTCTGTTTTATATTCTCAATTATTTTGTTAAAAAAGTGAACAAAATAAACAACTAAAAAAAAAAATAATAATAAAATAATAGTGTGCGGCTAAGTATGTAAGTACTTTTATGCGAACAATACTTGTTGAATGAAATAAACAATTTAGAAAACAATATAATTAACAAGCGAAATAAATTATATTTAAACAATTCCGTATAGTGCGTGTTATATATTAAGGTACGCATGTATAGTCAAAATGAGACGATTATAGAAAAGACAATGGATCAAACTAATAACAAGGAAATAGCTGAAATAACCGGCTATGGTCTAGATTATAGATTTTACTATAGTCCAGACTATATATTAGACTATAGTCCAGACTATAGTTCAGACTCTGGACTAGACTATAGACTAGACTATAGACTAGACTATAGACTAGACTATAGACTAGACTATAGACTAGACTATAGACTAGACTATAGACTAGACTATAGACTAGACTATAGACTAGACTATACTAGACTATAAGACTAGACTATAGACTAGACTATAGACTAAGACTATAGACTAGACTATAGACTAGACTATAGACTAGACTATAGACTAGACTATAGACTAGACTATAGACTAGACTATAGACTAGACTATAGACTAGACTATAGACTAGACTATAGACTAGACTATAGACTAGACTATAGACTAGACTATAGACTAGACTATATAGACTATAGACTAGACTATAGACTAGACTATAGACTAGACTATAGACTAGACTATAGACTAGACTATAGACTAGACTATAGACTAGACTATAGACTAGACTATAGACTAGACTATAGACTAGACTATAGACTAGACTATAGAAGACTATAGACTAGACTATAGACTAGACTATAGACTAGACTATAGAATAGACTAGACTAGACTATAGACTAGACTATAGGCTAGACTATAGACTAGACTATAGACTAGACTAGACTAGACTAGACTAGACTAGACTAGACTAGATACTAGACTATAGACTAGACTATAGACTAGACTATAGACTAGACTATAGACTAGACTATAGACTAGACTATAGACTAGACTATAGACTAGACCATAGACTAGACTATAGACTAGACTATAGACTAGACTAAGACTAGACATAGAACTAGACTATAGACTAGACTATAGACTAGACTATAGACTAGACTATACTAGACATACTAGACTATAGAACTAGACTATAGACTAGACTATAGATAGACTATAGCGTAGACTTTAGATGAGACTATAGACCGGACTGTAGTCCAGACTATAGACTAGACTAAGTCCAGACTATAGACAAGACTATAGTCCAACTATAGACTAGACTATAGACTAGACTATAGACTAGACTATAGACAAGACTATAGTCCAACTATAGACTAGACTATAGACTAGACTATAGACTAGACTATAGACTAGACTATACTAGACTATAGACTAGAATAATAATACTAGACTAGAGACTAGACTATAGACTAGACTATAGACTAGACTATAGACTAGACTATAGACTAGACTATAGACTAGACTATAGAACTAGACTATAGACTAGACTATAGACTAGACTATAGACTAGACTATAGCCTAGACTATAGACTAGACTATAGTCTAAGACTATAGACTAGACTATAGTCTAAGACTATAGACTAGACTATAGTCCAGACTATAGTCAGACTAGACTAGACTATAGTCCAGACTATAGACTAGACTATAGCCCAGACTATAGACTAGACTATAGTCCAGACTATAGACTAGACTATAGTCCAGACTATAGACTAGACTATAGTCCAGACTATAGACTAGACTATAGTCCAGACTATAGACTAGACTATAGACTAGACTATAGTCCAGACTATAGACTAGACCATAGACTAGACTACAGTCCAGACTATAGATTAGCCTATAGTCCAGACTATAGACTAGACCATAGACTAGACTATTGTCCAGACTATAGACTAGACCATTGACTAGACTATAGTCCAGACTATAGATTAGCCTATAGTCCAGACTATAGAGTAGACTATAGTCCAGACTATAGACTTAAATATTGTCCAGACTATAGATTAGACTATTGTCCACGCTATAGACTATAGTCCAAACTATAAACTGGTCTTTATATTGCTGTCGCCTATTTCTTGTTTTTCAATACAATATAACCATTTTCTTCTCTCAAATACGCCTTAACTAACATTAACCCAGATTTGTGGTCTAGACTGTATACCGTTCTAAAATTAGCATTTCGCCGCAATAACAACAATATCGAGTAATTTCTTATTACTTGTCAAGACAACTATAAATAAATCGCAAAAAACCATCAGTAGAATCTTAAGAATTATGTTTCGTTTTGAAAATATAAAATGTTCTTAATAAAAGTAACAATATGCATATAAATTTTTTACTAAATAAATATAAAAACATTTGCAAAAACCAAAGAAGCAAAAATTATATACAAACATTTGAACAAAATAAAGTGATTATTTAAACAGCTTTATCAGGAAAAAAGCAAAAAAAAAAAACACACTCGGCTTGAAAAAAAAAGAACATAAATGAAATAGAAAAATATATAACAATTTTTAACCAAAAAAAAAGTAAACAAAACTAAAATAGAATTAAGGAAATGTAGAAAAATTAATACGAATAAATAGTGCGCTACGGCAGAGGTGTAAGATGATTGAAGGTGATTTTAACATATTTTGGAGTATAAGTTCGGAAGTTCTAGACCATAGACTGAACTATAGTCGAGACTATGAACTAAACTATAATCGAAACTTTAGACTGAACTAGTCGAAACTATAGACTATAGTCGAGACCGTAGAGTAAACTAGACTATGGACTAAACTATAGTCGAGACTACAGATTAATCCTTAGACGAGACTACACACTAAACTATAGACTAAACTATAGTCAAGACTAGAACTAACTTGAGACTACAAGAGTCGAGAATACAGACTAAACTATAGTCTAGACTATACATTAAACTATAGTCGAGAATATAGACTAAACTTGAATGGAGATCAGTTTTTATTCGAGTCTATAGACCATACTATAGTCGAGACTATACTTGAGTCTATAGATCGGACTATAGTCGAGTCTATATTTGAGTATATAGATCGGACTATAGTAGTGTCTATAGTTAAGTCTATAGGCACACTATAGTCGAGTCTATACTTGTGTCTATAGATCGAACTATAGCCGTGTCTATAGACCGGACTATAGTCATGTCTATAGTTGAGTCTATAGACTATACTGTAGTCGTGTCTATAGTTGAACCTATAGACTAGACTATAGTCGAATTTATAGTTGAGACTTAATACCATTCTGCAGTTGCCTCTATACTTAACTCTATAGACCCGACTATAGTCAAGTCTTTAGTTGAGTCTATAGACCAGACTATATTCGAGTCTATAGACAGACTATAGTCGCGTGTATAGACAGACTATAGTCGAGTCTATAGGCAGACTATAGTCGAGTCTATAGATTATAGACTATAGTCGAGTTTATAGACAGACTATAGTCGAGTCTATAGACAGACTATAGTCGAGTCTATAGACAGACTATAGTCGAGTATATAGACAGACTATAGTCGAGTCCATAGATAGACTATAGTCGAGTCCATAGATAGACTATAGTCAAGTCTATAGATAGACTATAGTCAAGTCTATAGACAGACTATAATCGAGTCTATAGACAGTCTATAGTTTTATCTATAAACCAGAATATAGTCGTGTATATAGTTTAATCTATAGATCAGACTATAGTAGTAGCTATAGTATAATATATAGATCAGACTATAGTCGAGTTTGTAGTTTAATCTATAGACCAGTCCAGACTATAGTAGTACCTATTGTTGAATCTATAAACCAGACTATGGTCGAGTTTAAAGACCCGACTTAAGCTGGGGCTATGGATCAGACTTCAATAAGAAACTGAATATAGTTACGGAATTCGTAGGGTGTATTTTCGAATTAATTATGTACTCCTAAGTAGTGAAGAAACGGACGGACGTACAGAGTAACATACACGTTGAGACACCCACAAACTGATGAGTTCTATTCGTTTAAATATTTGCAGTAGGAAAGTTACAGAGTACAACACATATTTTTTTAATGATAAGGACAGGTCTTGAACGTTTTAAAAATGTTCTTATCAATTTGTCAAAAGCAGGGCAATAGAAAATAAATATGGGCTGGGAAATTATATTATAAAATATTTTGCTATTTTTCTTAAGAAAAAAATATTAATCCAAAAATTTTAACAGAAACACTCACCTGATTAATGATATCGAGTTTAAAATCTTGATAATTATTTGCTGCCGCTAATGAGGAGGGAAATTGTATACTACTGGCTAAAGATGAGGTGGATCCAGTGCGTGGTATAGTATGAGCTATAGAGTTTTGATGCTGTAGCAGTGGATGTTGATTTTGATGCCATTCTAATGAGGAACTTGCTTGTAAAGGTCGCAGCTTACGATTCGATGTAAGAAATATTTCATGATCTAATGAGGCCGATTTTAATTTAGCTCTAGCTAGTTTGGGAGCTGGTGGAAAGGCGGGTGTTGTGCGTATAGAACGTGAGGGAGTAGACGGTGGTGAAGGCATACGTGCCTGTTGTTGGAGAATAACTTGAGAATGTAATGTTTGCTAATAAGTTGGTCCCTTCAAGACACTTTTCTTCTGGAATGCTGACTAGTTTGTTCTTCGAGTAGGGGTCTGTTATAAAGGTGGCCGGTCTATTGTTGTTACGCTTGAAAAACTATTTATTTGTCTGTCTAGCAGATAGGAATGTTGCTAAATAAATTAACGCTAACGTAAGTGTGTATGTATATGTATGTTTCCCACTGGGAGCAGTTGTTGATCTGTATGATCTCTTTGTTTCGCGAGTGTGTTCCAATTCAGTTCATTTACGTGGGGTAACCTTAGACTTTTTTCCACTGTTGCTTTAAGTTTGTTTTTTTTTCACTGCTGCTCTACAAGAGGAAATTTTTAGAATCTATTTTTATTAAAAATTTTATAATTTTTATAATTTACCTTAATTTTTGTTTAAATTAGTTTTAAAATATTTAATTATTTTATTTCTATTTCCATTTATTTGTGTTTTTGTGTGTTTTTGAATATTTTTTGGGGGAAAAAAAACTTTATTTTCAAATAATTTATTATTAAATCCCATCAAAATAATAAAACTCAACTAGTTGTGTCTTGATCAAAGAGTAGTCTGAGATGAATTAAGGTTTAAAAAGCAAAACATAACAGAAATATATAAAAATTATAAAAAAAACACCACACCATAACAAAAAACCAGTAAAAATATACACAATTATTCGAGTTTATTTCTTTATTTTTATATTGGTATTTTCTGCCGTTGTAAAGATCGAGGGATCACAACACCGTATGACTATGAATGTTTGTTTCCCCAAGTCTAATGAGAAGTTAAATTCAAAAGTATACATATGTATATGTGTGTGTGTGTGTTTACAGTTGCTCCAAAACGAACGATCCCCAACAATGTTGTATTCGTGATAATAACAATAAAAACAATAGTAAATAAAAAGCTAAGAGAATGTACGAAAGAGAGCTGGAAAAGTAAGTGATCCCCATTTTGGAGCCATAAGTTCTCTTCTGTTTGGAACAAGTGGTGTCAATATCTGTACGAAAAAAAAAACATCAAAATCGTTCAAACATAAGACTAGACTATAGAATAGAGTAGTCTACCGACAATAGACCAGACTATAGACTAGACTAGACTATAGACTAGACTATAGACTAGACTAGACTATAGACTAGACTATAGACTAGACTATAGACTAGACTAGAGACTAGACTATAGATTAGACTATAGACTAGACTATAGACTAGACTATAGACTAGACTATAGACTAGACTATAGACTAGACTATAGACTAGACTATAGACTAGACTATAGACTAGACTATAGACTAGACTACAGACTAGACTATAGACTAGACTATAGACTAGACTACAGACTAGACTATAGACTAGACTATAGACTAGACTACAGACTAGACTATAGACTAGACTATAGACTAGACTACAGACTAGACTATAGACTAGACTATAGACTAGACTGTAGACTAGACTATAGACTAGACTATAGACTAGACTATAGACTAGACTATAGACTAGACTATAGACTAGGCTATAGACTAGACTATAGACTAGACTATAGACTAGACTATAGACTAGACTATAGACTAGACTATAGACTAGACTATAGACTAGACTATAGACTAGACTATAGACTAGACTATAGACTAGACTATAGACTAGACTATAGACTAGACTATAGACTAGACTATAGACTAGACTACAGACTAGACTATAGACTAGACTATAGACTAGACTACAGACTAGACTATAGACTAGACTATAGACTAGACTACAGACTAGACTATAGACTAGACTGTAGACTAGACTGTAGACTAGACTACAGACTAGACTATAGACTAGACTGTAGACTAGACTAGACTGTAGACTAGACTAGACTATAGACTAGACTATAGACTAGACTATAGACTAGACTATAGACTAGACTATAGACTAGACTATAGACTAGACTATAGACTAGACTATAGACTAGACTATAGACTAGTCCACTATAGACTAGACTATAGACTAGACTATAGACTAGACTATAGACTAGACTATAGACTAGACTATAGACTAGACTATAGACTAGACTATAGACTAGACTATAGACTAGACTATAGACTAGACTATAGACTAGACTATAGACTAGACTATAGACTAGACTATAGACTAGACTATAGACTAGACTATAGACTAGACTATAGACTAGACTAGACTAGACTATAGACTAGACTATAGACTAGACTATAGACTAGACTATAGACTAGACTATAGACTAGACTATAGACTAGACTATAGACTAGACTATAGACTAGACTATAGACTAGACTATAGACTAGACTATAGACTAGACTATAGACTAGACTATAGACTAGACTATAGATTAGACTAGACTATAGACTAGACTATAGACTAGACTATAGACTAGACTATAGACTAGACTATAGACTAGACTATAGACTAGACTATAGACTAGACTATAGACTAGACTATAGACTAGACTACAGACTAGACTATAGACTAGACTATAGACTAGACTACAGACTAGACTATAGACTAGACTATAGACTAGACTACAGACTAGACTATAGACTAGACTGTAGACTAGACTGTAGACTAGACTACAGACTAGACTATAGACTAGACTGTAGACTAGACTAGACTGTAGACTAGACTAGACTATAGACTAGACTGTAGACTAGACTATAGACTAGACTATAGACTAGACTATAGACTAGACTATAGACTAGACTATAGACTAGACTATAGACTAGACTATAGACTAGACTATAGACTAGACTATAGACTAGACTATAGACTAGACTATAGACTAGACTATAGACTAGACTATAGACTAGACTATAGACTAGACTATAGACTAGACTATAGACTAGACTATAGACTAGACTATAGACTAGACTATAGACTAGACTATAGACTAGACTATAGACTAGACTATAGACTAGACTATAGACTAGACTATAGACTAGACTATAGACTAGACTATAGACTAGACTATAGACTAGACTATAGACTAGACTATAGACTAGACTATAGACTAGACTATAGACTAGACTATAGACTAGACTATAGACTAGACTAACTAGACTATAGACTAGACTATAGACTAGACTATAGAACTAGACTAGACTAGACTATAGACTAGACTATAGACTAGACCTAATAGACTAGACTATAGACTAGACTATAGACTAGACTATAGACTAGACTATAGACTAGACTATAGACTAGACTATAGACTAGACTATAGACTAGACTATAGACTAGACTATAGACTAGACGACTATAGACTAGACTATAAGACTAGACTATAGACTAGACTATAGACTAGACTAGACTAGACTAGACTAGACTAGACTATAGACTAGACTATAGACGATACTATAGACTAGACTATAGACTAGACTAGACTATAGACTAGACTATAGACTATAGACTAACTAGACTAGACTAGACTAGACTATAGACCTAGACTATAGACTAGACTTAGAAGCTAGACTATAGACTAGACTAATAGACTAGACTATAGACTAGACTATAGACTAGACTATAGACTAGACTATAGACTAGACTATAGACTAGACTATATAGACTAGACTATAGACTAGACTATACGACTAGACACATAGAACTAGACTATAGACTAGACTATAGACTAGACTATAGACTAGACTATAGACTAGACTATAGACTAACTATGACTAGACTATAGACTAGACTATAGACTAGACTATAGACTAGACTATAGACTAGACTATAGACTAGACTATAGACTAGACTATAGACTAGAACTATAGACTAGACTATAGACTGCGATATAGACTAGACTATAGACTAGACTATAGACTAGACTATAGACTAGACTATAGACTAGACTATAGACTAGACTATAGACTAGACTATAGACTAGACTATAGACTAGACTATAGACCTAGACTATAGACCTATAGACTAGACTAGAGACTAGACTATAGACTAGACTATAGACTAGACTATAGACTAAACTATAGACTAGACTATAGACTAGACTATAGACTAGACTATAGACTAGACTAGAGACTAGACTATAGACTAGACTATAGACTTAGACTATAGACTAGACTATAGACTATAGACTTAGACTATAGACTAGACTATAGACTAGACTATAGACTAGACTATAGACTAGACTATAGACTAGACTATAGACTAGACTATAGACTAGACTATAGACTAGACTATAGACTAGACTATAGACTAGACTAGAGACTAGACTATAGACTAGACTATAGACTAGACTTATAGACTAGACTATAGACTAGTAATAGGCTAGACTATACTCTAGACTATAGAACGACTATAGATTAAAACTATAGATTAGCCAATATATTAGACTATAGACTAGATAATATAGATTGTGTATATTTCTCTTAAGATTAGCCTTTAGTAACAACATTAGACCAGACTATTGTCTGGACTGTTAAGCCTTATTTTCCAAACATTTGTAATAAATTTATTTATTTATTGAATGTATAAAATCATGTAAAGTACTCATTTTCCGTTGATTAACATTTACATTTGACATGGCCACCCTGATATCGAAAGCTAACTTAACAAAAGCTTTTCTGTATTATTAACAAATGATCATGTTAAAGCTTTTCTATTGATATGCACATTTTAAGTTTAAAATTTAAAAAGTTTTAATTTCAACGTTACTTTCAAATTGCATTAATATATTATACAGATTTATATACACAATATTTATAACAAATATCATTTACCGGTAATACGCTGATATATTTTAGGTATTACGTAAGTAATTAAAAATCTTATTAAAACAAATATTAAAAATAAACCAAATATACTGCCTACAATAATGGTGGTCCATTCCAGGGGATTTAGTTTGTTAGTGGCCGGGTGGACATGGTTATTGATACCAATCTGTAAGTAAAAAATTCTTGTTAGTTGTTAACCTTTACTTTGCTTTAAACAAAACCTACCCAACCACCATTTTCATTGATCCAAGGCACTAGTTCATCTTCTATAACATCTGAAACACTTTGCATTAGTTTGGGCAAATATTCTGGATGACCTTGTCGAACACAATCTACGGATAATCCCCCCGCTATGGCAAATAATGATACTATTTTACTCCAGGTTATATCGATGCGAAAGAGATCTCTAGCAACGGCTGATAATAGTAAAAATGACAGTATCGGCTGATTTAAATTCCCCACCGGGATTTCGGCAAATTTGTCTTGCTACACCAGTGTAGATACGCGGGTGCATACGTTCTAATTCATCGCCTAACTGGAATGAGAATGGAATTTGGAAAATGTGCAAGAAAATTGAAGAGATATAGACAGAAATATGATCTGTAATTGGAGAATCTCTGGCACTGTATCAACACAATAGTCAAACACTATAGTATATTCTATAGACTGATTTATAGGTCTTTAGTTTTGGCTATTGTCTGGCTATAGTATAGCTGTCTATTGTCTGGCTATAGTATAGGAGCTGTCTATAGTCATGTCTATAGACTAGTCTATAGTCTAGTTTATAGTCTTGTATATAGTCTAGTCTATAGTCTAGTCTATAGTCTAGTCTATAGTCTAGTCTATAGTCTAGTCTATAGTCTAGTCTATAGTCTAGTCTATAGTCTAGTCTATAGTCTAGTCTATAGTCTAGTCTATAGTCTAGTATATAGTCTAGTCTATAGTCTAGTCTATAGTCTAGTCTATAGTCTAGTCTATAGTCTTGTCTATAGTCTAGTCTATAGTCTAGTCTATAGTCTAGTCTAGTCTATAGTCTAGTCTAT